TTTGCTTTGATTTATCTCTTTTTGCCCACTTTATTTACCGGCCTACAGCATGCATCGGTTTCGGCACACCTCAACCGACTATTTCCTTTTATTTACTTCTCTTCACCAGCGTATTCCATATCATATGAGAATGCCCCGAACACAAATTGGAAGGCATTGCCTGAAGTTGTGGGAGGGGCTATAGACCTACTTAAGGGACTCCCCCCTTCCCTTACTTACATTCGTTGGTCTAGATGAACAGCCCCACCCCCCACTCCCATTAGCTATATTGTTCCTCTATGTAAACCCACTTTATTTACCGGCCTACAGCATACATCGGTTTCGGCACATCTCAACCGACTATTTCCTTTTATTTACTTCTCTTCACCAGCGTATTCCATATCATATGAGAATGCCACGAACACAAATATATATATATATATATATACACCCTACATAGCACAATGACTTATGGGGCTGGCATAGATTTTTTTCCAGGGCTGCTTCGTATCTCCAGTCCGGCCCTGCATAAATGCCAGCTGCTGCTGAATAAAAATCAGTTGACTCCCAGAACTGTGTATCATCCAGTTATTGGGAGATTGGGATTGTGTTGCTGTACTGCGCTGATCTTCGATGTTCTACAGTCTACAGGCGGAGATATTGATTTTAATATTGCAGCTCTGCTACACTGACTAATATTTATTAATGAGCAGCATGACTGTGGTATTTACGAATAATAATTGGCAAACTTACTGTGGTATTTTATTGGGCATCTAATTTAGCATATGTGTAACCCCTTAAGGACCAAACTTCTGGAATAAAAGGTAATTATGACATGTCACACGTCATGTGTCCTTAAGGGGTTAATGGGCACACTAACAGTGGTATTTAGTAATTGGCAGCCTTACTGTGGTCTTTTATAATGGGCAATCTTACTGTGGTATTTGTAATGGGCACACTGACTGTAGTATGTTCTATGGGGAAAAGTGAAACTGTTCTGTGTATGCACGTTATTACTCCTATTTTTAAATATATAGATTTTTGCTTGTTGTGTGCCGTGAAATTCTGGGAAGAGCTTTGGTGTGCCTTGGGTGAGAAACATTTGACGAGCACTGCTCTAGATAACTGTTAAACATAAACAGTCACATATTTGGCTCTTATCTTATTGCAATATCTTAATACCTTTAATGCGAGGTGACAGAGCCACTTTAAGGGGTGACAGGGTTATGTAGTACATGGTGTTATACGAAATGCTAATAAACACAGTGTGTGTGAAATAATAAAAATATATATTTTTTTATATTTATTCACTTGACTATATACCAAGAATTATATGTTTAGATGTGGCAAGATAATTTAGATTTTGTAAATTTTCTACCTGGGATTTTTATCACATCTTTATTTCTATTTCTTTACACTTCAGGTTTAAATGAGTATGGCAATTATCAACCTCCAATCATAGATATAACCTGCTATTTTAATACCATTCCCTATGAACCAAACACGGGTCCTATGACAGATTAATGATATACATTCTTCATCCTATACAGTGGCGGAACTACTGCTGGTGCGGCTGCCTCGGGGCCGCCAACTCAGGGGCCATTGGTCCATGCACTTACGGCCATAGGATGAGTAATAGTGCTCTACTTCTTAACAGGGGCACGGTCAGTGACACGGCCCTTTAAGAGCCTGACCAGGCCCCTGCAGTATCTGCTGGCAGGAGGAAGTATCAGCCGATCACTTCCTTCCAGCCTTGCTGAGCGTGGCACGAAGGGGAGAAGGAGGAAGGAGGCACACACAGGCAGCATGAAGGGAGAGAGACTAGCTACAGAACACCACTACACTCTCTCTGCTCAGCCAGCAGCAGCAAGACTCCAAGCAGTCACCATACTGGAAACGAAAAGTATGTTAATAGGAGGGTGTGTCTGAGTGTGTGGAGCTGTGTCAGTGTGTATCTGTCACAGTGTGTGTGTGTGTATCGTGTCGCAGTGTGTGTCTGAAAGTGTGCATGTGTATCTATCATAGTGTGTGTTTATCTTTGTCTGTGTTTGAATGAGTCCGTGTGTATTTATGTATCTGTATGTTAATGTGTAAGTATGTAGGTCAGTGTGTGTGTGTTTGGGAGTGCATCTCTGTATGTGTATACATATCAGTGTATGTATACATGCGTGTTTCACTACATTTGTGTGTGTATACACATCAATGTGCGTGTATAAGGTTGTGTGCATGTGTCAGTGTGTTTATATGTGTATGCATATCTGCATAAATATGTAGGTATATGGAAGTGTATGTGTGTATGTGCATACATCTAAAAAATGAAACTCCAACACAACATGCAATACACTAGTGCAATCTGACACAAACATTACATACAAACACACCCCTGCATTCAAACTCCAAATTATATACAAACCTCTTCATTCAAACACCAGTACTGCACATAAATGTACATCTGCATTTAAAAGCCAACATTGCATCCAAACACATCTCTGGAATCAAACGCAAACATTACATACAAACTCACCTGTATATTAAACATTAAAATTATATACAATCACCCCTTCAATCAAACACAAACACTACACACAAAAGCACACCTACATTTAAAAGCCAACACTATATACAAACACACCCCTGTATTAAAAAGCAAACACATCATCAGAGCCAGCGTTAGGCAAACTAGGAATTCGCCTAATGCGCCAGCCTGTTGTGGGCTCTAGAGCCGCCCCTTCTCAGCGCCGTGCCGCTCCCGCTCAAGCACCCGAAGGTGGGGGTGCCCAGAGGAGCCCTGTCACAGTATCTTACCTTGATGGCAGGTGCCTGCTTTGCCATCAAATGCCGGTGACCGGAGGAGGGGGACGGAGCAGGCAGGTGGCGAGGAAGGCTCTTCTTGCAGCCTCTCACTCCTCCCTTGCGCGCCCTCTGTGTTGCCGGGAGCCGGAATATGATGTCATTCTGGCCCCGGCATACTAAAGAGAGGGCGGGAGGAGTGAGGAGCTGCCCCACACTAGACCCCAGGGAGGTGAGTGTTTCACTGTCAGTGAGTGTATGTTTGTCAATGAGTGAGTGTCTGTGTGTGTGTTTGTGTGTGTGTGTGTGTATATGTATGTCAGTGAGTTTGTGTGTGTGTGTGTGTGTGTGTGTGTGTCAGCGTGTGTGTCTGTCAGTGAGTGTCACGTATTCATCCGCTTATAGAAATGTGGTTAATGACATTTACTGTCCACACAGGAAAAGTTGTGCCGAGCAGCAACCTAATCCACAGAAGGGTTAATGCTGAGCAGCAATTATGCAAATGAAACCTGGTAACTGACTTTGGGGTCAAAGGCCGGTTACAGCCTATCAGAACTAAAGGAGGGGTATTTAGGCCCAGTTCTCAGCCTGCTCAGTGCCCTGTCGTGGTTTCCCTTGTGGTTGTCCGAGAGCGCGTTCCTGTTTATAGTTTTCTACCTGGTTTTTTACTTTGGCTTTGTTTATTGACTTCTCTATATTCTGGTATCCTGACTCCTGGCTTTCCTCATCGCTGTGTCCCTTTCTGTGTTCCCTGACCTCGGCTAGTATTTTTGACTATTCTTTGTACGTTAAATCCGGCCATTCTAAGGACCGGTAATACGTTACTTATTTGTCATCCGTGCTGTACAGTTCTACGTGCTGGATCAAACAGTAATCCTGACAGTGAGTGAGTGTGTGACATGAAGGGGTGGCAAAATGGATCTTTGCCTAGGGCGGAAGAAATCCTTGCACTGGCCCTGCACTACATACAGGTACACCACTGCATTCCAATGGCAACAGTACATAAAAATACACCCTGTATGGACACATATACTCTATACAAAAATATGCTTACATTAAAATGCACACTGTTCACAAATACAACCCTGCAAGGACGGGCAAATGGTAGATCGCCACCTGGCATAGCATTGCTGGACTTGTAAGACAGATGAGGATCTTTGCCACTCTTGAACTAGGAGGCACAAAAATCTACATAGTTCCCGCCACTGGTCCTATATGTTATAACTTTAAACACTCCCATGATAAGCCTGAATGCATGCTGTATGGCGTGGGTGTATATCTATCTATATACATATATCCATACATACATACTTTACACGATCATTCTCCTTAATTAACCTATCCAGAAAGAAAACACAGATTCACAGGGGTTTTTCCATAATAAATATATTGTACATTCAAATAAATTCTCTCCATATGAAACAGATTCTAAATGTTCCTTCGTATACAAATTCTGTACATCGATCATATTATAATATATGGAGTGATACAGCATCAGTGTTGTAACTTGAAGTAAGGTAAGAGGTATTATGTTGTTGTACATGGAAGATGCAACTTGTGCCTGAGTATCTAAGAGGAATCAGAAGAAAGCACGAATAGTGAATTAGAGCCCAAAACAATGCAATAACAATGATTAGCCAGGAAGCAATCACCATAATCTACGTAAACGTTCTTTCATATGGATTTCCTGTGATAGCTCTTTCCCCTGAACTACTCCTTCCCACAGCTTCAGGTGCGTCTCTGGCATTCTGATTAACGTGTCAATTTATTATTTGCTGTGATATTTGATCTGAAAACAAAATAAGGAATTTAACAGATCTACGTCCAGTTTGGCCAGCGCTGTCTGAGTGATGAACATGATTTCAGGAGAATAATGAGAAAAATTAATAAAGATCACTTGAATTGGTGATATAGAAGAAACTGCATTGGGTCAGAACTGCTAACCTGGCATGAGTAAGTGCTTGTGGTCACGTCTGCATGGGTCCACCATAAGTTACGGTAGTATAGTCATTTGGGTGAGTCTTTGCTATTACACGTGAGCAATAAGACACATCAGCAGCTTTGCCTCTCTTGGCTATTCAGTGCATTTTAGGATTTTCAGGACAGCCAAGCAGAAAGACCAGGATAACATGCCACTGACATGGACAACCAAAAGGATCTGTTTGCACTCACTCATACTGCGTACTATCTTATATAGTTAGACTCATTGAGGAAATTTAAATCTGAGCAGTTCACATGCGTCTCTTTTTTTTCTCTGGCTCTGGTTTCCAGTACAGAGCCCATGAGAATCCAATGACCAGCAGGAGACTGAGGGCCAGGGCCAAGCTCCATGCTCCCAAGGTGCTGGATAAGGAAGGCAAGGTGTCATTTTTCTCAAACCAGCTCCGACGCAGATTCATGTCCATAATAAGCGCTTCCATCTGGATGTAAGTGCCCAAGATAGCGCACACATGGAAAAGCTGGTGACTATGACCTGCGCAAAAGAAAGAAAATACAAACACTACTTAGTCATGTGCTTATAGTCTCTGCAGATGTAGGATATTCTCCAATTCATAGCTATGAGTGACAATATTCTATTTAGAATTCCATGCTTATTGCTCATACCTGGAATTAATGCCTGGGAGATTAAAACAGACAATCTTACAATAATTTAAATTATCCTAAATATTAGCCGCAAATTTTTTTATTATCCTAATATTTAGTGCCAGGCTGGGAAACCCATGACCAATGACAGAGGTGGCTGCTGAATGTTGATAATGTTCATATTGTTTGACAGTGATTATAACGTCATAGGGCACTATAATATGGTAAACAGTTCATCTTGAGATGTGCTGTGCAAATTGGACTCATTATGATTTTTAAGTATTGGAGGAAATTGGGATGTGAATACCCTAAAGAAAGTTCAGAAGAGGGCAGGATGAGATTCCACAAGCAAAGGATATTATAATCGGCTGCAATCACTCACCCACATAATCAAAGCGTCCAGGGGCCAGTCTCTCTGGGAGATGGGTGGCAAAGAGAAAACCAGTGAGTAATGCCAGAAAAGTGTGCCCAATGTGCAAGGTTACCGTAGCATTCTGTGTGCAGTCACTACCTGAGCACAGGAACAGCTGTATAGATATAGATAAGAGATTAAATCTACAGCAAAACCTGATAGAACATTAGATCCATGTCTTACTGGAACAGCAGCAGAACTCTAATCTTCTGTTTAAAGTAAACAACTGGCAAGGTAAAACAAAAAGCACACCATAAAAAGCAGAGCACAATGATCAGTATTGGATAGCTCTATGGTGTTCACCTGAAGTGAACTCAAAAACTATTTGCAAAGTTTACGACAAAATAGCCAAGTTGGCAAATCAATTGAAAGTTTATTTGTCTTAAAAACTGCATTTTGATTTTCAGTTCACTCCAATTCACTGCTTAGTAAGTGAATCCAAAAACGATTTATGCTTAGTTAGCACTTAATGATCTGTTTAATATAAATTTCAATAATACTAGGGATTACCTACTTTGCCAGTCAGTTATGTACAAACCGTTACATAGGACACATGTAAAGGTGGAGCAATCACTAGAAACGCCCTAGCACAAAACCCACTGTGTCGGCATCTATTTGGCAAATCAGCCCATATTTGAGATTAGTAAAAATGGCAATTATCCTGTGTTGCATATTCCAGTGGTTCCCAACCCATTCCTCAAGGTACATCGGTGGACCATGTCATATCTTCGCTACCATAGTCAACTAATAATTGGGACTTTGTGTGTTACATAGTTATATAGCTGAGAAGAGACATGTGTCCATCAAGTTCAGCCTTTCTCACATCTGTTTTTCCTATTGAAAAAAAAAAAAAAAAAAAAACTTACCTGCCCTCTCTCCTTAATCCCTATGTATATTTAAACAAATGGAGGTCATTTAGTTACTCCAGTGGCCACTGGAGGGTATGCCCGCCTGCCAACATCAAGGCAGACCCCTCCCCTAGACGGGTCCTACTCTGACCCTTCACCTTGCTTCCTTGAGCTTCTGACAAAGATATGTTCTATTGATCCTAAAGAAGGCAAAAACCAGTTGAAAACACCAATTTTGCTTTTGAAAAGCATCCTTCTTGACCCCAGAATGGCAGAATGGTGTATGTGTGTGGGTTGGGAACCAATGGCATTTACTGCATGCTTCCAGGGCCGAAAACTCCAGGTCCTATGCTACTCAACAGGCTTATACGCTACTTGCCACTGCAAGTCTGGAGAGTCCAGGAGTGAACTTTCACTCACCAATTGCTAATGGAAATTTGTGCCCGGTTTATACTCTGAACAAGGTCTTTAAATGCATTTCACACACACACACACATATATATATATATATATATCACACACACACACACTCTACAGCGACTAGCTGATTTGATGCATCACCAATGTATCTTAGTGTCTTCACCACAGTTTTCAATTTGCTCACAGCTTCATACCCTGTAGAACAAGGGGATTGTGTCAAAAAAGTATGGATATCCAAAAGCTGTTGTGCGCAAAACCTTACTGAACCGTGGACGCGCCACTTCCGGGAACCTGCAAAGACAGATCGTGTTTAAGCTCTTGGGAAGTATGATTAGGCATTGAGCAGACAGCACAGAGAATTTATTGACAAAGATATTGATATTTAAAACTGCACGACTAGAAAGCAACAGGAATTACTTTGCAAAAATGTTCATCCCTTTCATTCTTCAACATTTTATAGCGTTGCCACTGGCATTAAAATGGATTTCAATAGGATTATTATTTGGTTTGATCCTCCCAAAATAGCTTAAATTTGTAAGTGTTGAAAAGTCGATTGTATAATTATTCACCTGTTATGCTGTGGCATCACTACGTAAACTCTGGCAATACCATTAACAAAGAAGAAAAATAAAGTTATAAAAGTTATTAAAACTTTACTTGTCAGATCGCCAAAGGGCACTCCAACAAGAAGAAAAAAAAACTGTACCTTTTAACAGATAATTATTTGAACAGCTTTATTCAAACACACCACATGTTTGTACAGGAACACATGTGTAAAGTGTTTCAAACTACCCTTGTTCTAAGGTGTACATTTTTTCTCCCTATATCAGAGGAGGACTAGGTACGTAACTGGGTAACAGACAGGACGCATCGTTTCTTTGTTGTTAGGGGTCTCAGTTACTGAGATAATTTAAAGAAAAGACAGATTGATATTCCGCACTGAGTATTTAAACTAATTTAGCCAAATTTCAAGTAGCCTGTTTGATTATGTCTTTGATATAGTGAATAGATTATTAAGAGAGGCGTGGAGATGATCTACATTGGTACTGGTGATAAAGTCAGAAAATAATAAATGGCACTCTGGATGAGTTTAGAGAATTAGTTTGCTTTCTTGGGAAGAAGAGAAAGACCTCCAAAGTATACATTACGGGGGTTACTCACTAAAGGAAAACTATAGTGCTAGGATACAAAGCTGTATTCCTAATACTAGAATATCCCTCAGCCCCAGCTTTGTAAAGGGTTAAATAACCATTGTAAACATTTCACCTAATTCCAGTGCCGAGGTCCACCTTCTCCAACTTCAGTATATGGGGAACCTGATGCGCATACGCGGCAAGTGCCATGGGCGCATTAGGCCTTCCCCATTGACTCAATGCTTCCCTATGGAGATTTTAAAGATGCTGGACGTCCTCATGCAAAGCCAAGGAGTCACACTTCTTCAAATTGCAGGAAGCACCTCTAGTGGCTCTCTGGTAGACAGTGACTAGAGGCAGTCTTGACACTGCATTGTAAATATTGCAGTTTCTCTAAAACTGCAGTTGTTTTACATTGCAGATTTAAGGGAACAGGGACACTGGATCCAGACTACTTCAATGAGACGAAATTGTCTGGGTGCTTATATTGTCCCTTAAGCACCGAATTTTGTCCAGGTGGACAAAATTTGGTGAAATGACTGGATTTGAACCCGATTTGCTATTCTCATATTTACCAACCCCAAATCCAGTCAAATCATTTTTTATTTTTTTTAAAAAAGACTATAAAACTATTGGAAGTCCAAAACTCTCCTTTATGCCCCCACACTTGACATGTAGCTCAGGGTGCATCTACTAAAGAGGGGCAGTGGGGGGTGCACATGGGCTTTAAATGGGTACAGGTGGAGTAGAGGGGGCACAAGTGCCATAAGGGGGCACAGTGGTAGTAGGGGGATACAGGTGAAGTAGAAGGGGCACAGGGGCTATAGAGGGGCGGACAGGGGCTATAGAGGTATTTTTGATTAAAATAAACACACTACAAAGTATTCCCCCCTTCCTGAGGCTTACCTTGGGCAGAGGGCAGCCTTATCTCTGGTGGTGGGACAGCCTGGAGCTGGAGCCTGCACGATGGTGTAAGAGCTAGAGCTTCCGCTGGGGAAAAGAGCAGTAAAGTCACACCCACCCTCTGACATCATCAGAAGGAGCTGGCTGACTTCACTGCCGAGCTGCTGGCTGCAGGGAGAGCAATGTAGGCTGCAGTGATTTTAAAAATACGAGTTACCAGGCAGAGTATTTTTGCGCCCCCCCTCACTGGCGCCATAAGGCCGGCCAGGGGGGGTGAACTGCCACGTGTCCCTCTCACCACCAGCCATGGATATTGAGTGGGGTCTACATATACAGGGAGTGCAGAATTATTAGGCAAATGAGTATTTTGACCACATCATCCTCTTTATGCATGTTGTCTTACTCCAAGCTGTATAGGCTCGAAAGCCTACTACCAATTAAGCATATTAGGTGATGTGCATCTCTGTAATGAGAAGGGGTGTGGTCTAATGACATCAACACCCTATATCAGGTGTGCATAATTATTAGGCAACTTCCTTTCCTTTGGCAAAATGGGTCAAAAGAAGGACTTGACAGGCTCAGAAAAGTCAAAAATAGTGAGATATCTTGCAGAGGGATGCAGCACTCTTAAAATTGCAAAGCTTCTGAAGCGTGATCATCGAACAATCAAGCGTTTCATTCAAAATAGTCAACAGGGTCGCAAGAAGCGTGTGGAAAAACCAAGGCGCAAAATAACTGCCCATGAACTGAGAAAAGTCAAGCGTGCAGCTGCCACGATGCCACTTGCCACCAGTTTGGCCATATTTCAGAGCTGCAACATCACTGGAGTGCCCAAAAGCACAAGGTGTGCAATACTCAGAGACATGGCCAAGGTAAGAAAGGCTGAAAGACGACCACCACTGAACAAGACACACAAGCTGAAACGTCAAGACTGGGCCAAGAAATATCTCAAGACTGATTTTTCTAAGGTTTTATGGACTGATGAAATGAGAGTGAGTCTTGATGGGCCAGATGGATGGGCCCGTGGCTGGATTGGTAAAGGGCAGAGAGCTCCAGTCCGACTCAGACGCCAGCAAGGTGGAGGTGTAGTACTGGTTTGGGCTGGTATCATCAAAGATGAGCTTGTGGGGCCTTTTCGGGTTGAGGATGGAGTCAAGCTCAACTCCCAGTCCTACTGCCAGTTCCTGGAAGACACCTTCTTCAAGCAGTGGTACAGGAAGAAGTCTGCATCCTTCAAGAAAAACATGATTTTCATGCAGGACAATGCTCCATCACACGCGTCCAAGTACTCCACAGCGTGGCTGGCAAGAAAGGGTATAAAAGAAGAAAATCTAATGACATGGCCTCCTTGTTCACCTGATCTGAACCCCATTGAGAACCTGTGGTCCATCATCAAATGTGAGATTTACAAGGAGGGAAAACAGTACACCTCTCTGAACAGTGTCTGGGAGGCTGTGGTTGCTGCTGCACGCAATGTTGATGGTGAACAGATCAAAACACTGACAGAATCCATGGATGGCAGGCTTTTGAGTGTCCTTGCAAAGAAAGGTGGCTATATTGGTCACTGATTTGTTTTTGTTTTGTTTTTGAATGTCAGAAATGTATATTTGTGAATGTTGAGATGTTATATTGGTTTCACTGGTAATAATAAATAATTGAAATGGGTATATATTTGTTTTTTGTTAAGTTGCCTAATAATTATGCACAGTAATAGTCACCTGCACACACAGATATCCCCCTAACATAGCTATAACTAAAAACAAACTAAAAACTACTTCCAAAAATATTCAGCTTTGATATTAATGAGTTTTTTGGGTTCATTGAGAACATGGTTGTTGTTCAATAATAAAATTAATCCTCAAAAATACAACTTGCCTAATAATTCTGCACTCCCTGTATATGGGATGAGACAGGATATTGATTTATTTCTGTTCCTTATATAATTCTCTTAAACTGTAACTGTTGCCAACCAGCTCCTACCAAGTGATGCATCTGGAGATAAATACCTTTGCATACAAGAAATTCCCTTTTTTAACTTTAGAACACGTTTTTACACCTTCATTACTTTGAGTATGTTTTTAAAATCTAATAGAAAAAATAATTTAATTAAAATCTAATAGAAAATCCAATTTAAATCCATTTTAAAAGGTTTCCAGAATTACAGTTCCCAGTCAATCCCTCACAAAGTACATTCATTCTGCTGAAGCAAATTAGAAGAAGTTCATGGGTTTTGATTTAGCAAGCAGATTTTTAAAGAATGATCTAATTTAATATCCTACGGGTGAATGAACTGGATGTCAAGCAGATTATCAATGTCACATTTAGATCAAGTATGGTTAGTAGTCACAGCCTAGAGGCCAAGATAAAGTCTCACCAGCTTCCTGATCACATTTTACCTTTCTATCAGAAGCTGGTTATAATGCAGAAAGGGAGCTCCCAGCCTGTTGGGGACAGTTATCGAAGTAAGATATCAGAAACCATACAGGTTTCCAAAGGACCCAAGTACACCTAGTAAGCCCAACAAAAACATCAAACACAAACCAAACCAAAAGGAATGGACCTGTACCATTGTAGAAAAAGGGCATGGCTGCTTACACTTAAAAGGAGCACTCTGAGCACCATAACCACATCAAATTGTAGTGGTTATGGTGCTAGTAATCTCATTACGCACGTCTCCCCCATGTTTGACAACTTACCTGGGATCCGCCCGCTTGTCCATTGAGAGCCGCAATGCTCTGAACTGTTGGAATAACCCAATGACAAATGTATGTATAAAGTTTGCACAATAACACTGGGCATGGTATACCAATTCTATCAGCCAATGAGCTGGTCTTGCAAGGCTCAGCTTTAGCTTAGGAGAGCCAATGAAAGATCAGTCCACACTGTAGTGGTTATGGTGCTTGGAGTATTCCTTTTAACATTCAGGGTTATTCACTAAAGCATGAATTGTAGGAAGAACATCATGGTAACGTAGTTAATGGTTTTCAGATGTATAGATGCGTTTTCTTTCCGTGGGCTATTCTTCGATATGGCTAAATTTGTATTGGAAACATACAGTAGACCTATAAAGATACTGATGGGGATATTTACTAAATACCGATTTATTATCTGGATTCTAAGAAGTTGTTGATGGTAAATAAGTGTCAGAGATAGCAAAGATTTGGATGACCTTCGGAGTTCACAGCCATCATTCACTTTGTATTACAATACTCTGGCATGCAAAACTTCCATTGGCCTTTGCAAAGTGCTACATAGACCACTTCTTGCTATTGTTATTTATACAGGCAATACCTTTTTCAAACACTTCATGGTCCAATTAAATAATTAAGCATAAATCTAATGAGGATCTCAGGGGTGAACCAATGTACGAGTATGGTATAATTATGCACACTTCTCCAATTTGCCCCAACACTTACTGTCCCCTGAGAATCTCAATGATTTACACAGTCTGGAATGTTGCATAAAAACCTTGGTTAGTGCTAAATCTAATCTAATCCCAAATCAGATTCTAACCCAAATCTGAGATGTAACTGCATCTCCAAACACAACATGTAAACTTGACTCTCACATTATCTCAATTTAACCAAGGTCCTAATCGTAACCCAAACATTAACTGATTTAACATGTAGTGCTATAGCAAAGTCTATAATCCCAACCTTACTTATAACATTCAGACCTTGCCCAGCAGAGATTATAAAGACAGTGTGGTGGGGTAGATCGTGTTATACTACATACTAACATTTGGCAGCCACGAGCATAGCCCAGGGGATAAACTGAAGAAAGAGGTGCAGAATCTGACAACATTCAAATTAAAGTACGACACAGTGACCATTTCTGTGCAGGAATAAACCTCTCAAAATAATCCAAGCAAAATCTATGTTCCACTGCCATGGCTGTGCATCCCAGTCTTACCTAGAGTAACAGGCCATCCCAGTGCAGATAATGGTATTCAGCACAGCACACGTCACAAACCACTGATGGAAAAGGCTATTCACCCACCGATCCGGAAACACATATGTCGAGTAAGCAATGGCTGATCCTATAGATTAAAAAAAACAAAGACATGAGCCACAGCAATATATCATAAACTAGATTACACTAATAGGAATATCCAATAATGTGAGAATTCATGGTGAATTCAAACGGATTTTCACATTTACGGTCAAAATAGCGACAATGGAAGGAATTTCTGTCAGCTATGATTTCATTTTAGCTACTGCTCAATTTGAAATGCACTTCAGTAAATACAAAGTCCGTATCACAATTAATCTTTAAAACGCACATGATACCTGCATGCAGGTTAACTTCCTTTAGGCAGTCAATAGTGTTTGTTTTTTTACTTAATGTTTTTCCAGGACGAACACAAAATTATTCTTTTTTTAATTACCAACGGAGTGATAGAACGATAACATGTATTTAATGCAGTTGTTAATGTTACAGTTTTTTGTAACTAGAGAGGTGGATCTTTTCGAGAGATTTAAAGATTATTTCAGATTTGTCGAATGCTATGGCAGTAGACATCTAAACTCGCTTTATTTTTTGAATAGTTAATACAATGTTAAACGAAATCTGCACACCAGTCAAGCCACAAACCATTGCTTTTCCCACAGAAATCACAAATCTGCAGTAATGTTACTACCGCAAAGAATGTAGAACCGCAAATAAAGTGCTGAAAATGAATTGATGGATGGGAGAGGTGTAGGAAGCAGGAAAACCGATTGAGTAAGCTATTCAGATATTGTGAGGATTTCCAGATGAATGATTATGAACCAGGCAAAAAATATGATGGTCATATCTGGGCCTGATCATTACACAGGTCATTCCTTAAATTGGAAGTAACAGTTCCTCATTCTCTCTCCACAGTAATAACAATATAAGAGTTTACTGAGATGCAGATGCATACCTTGGTTATACGGCCCCACAGACAGTATCCTAGGTAGGATGCCAGATTGGGTCTCTCTCCTAGAACACTGGGCTCCGTTCTGTGAGTGATGTGTGTGGGGGGGTTGAGGGGAGACTGAATGTTTTATCTGTGTGAGAAGGGGTGTAGTGTGTATGAAGGAGGATGAGAGCTGCATGTGCAAGGCTACGTTTGCCTGTCTGTGTGCACTGGTGGAGTGTTGTGTGTGGTGGAGTTTAAGCATTTGTGTGTTGTGTGTGTGTAAGGTAGTTTGAGTGTGACCAAGTGTTGTATGTATGTCATGCGACAGTAGTCACCATCACTGGGAGCATAAGATGGACACTTGAATTAGATCCATGAATAACTCCTATGTTTAAGTCACCCTGTGCCCATTGTGAGTGCACTAGCTGAATAGCAAGACTTGTTAATGTGCATATTCAGGTAGACTTGCTTATTTTGAATTCTGCACGCAGGAGAAATATTTTGTGTTAGTTACTGTTTTCCCCACCGCTTTATGAATAGGCTATTATAATATTCTATATGTTTTTCGATATGATTTGGTTATTTGTATTATATTGAGTTTGTCATATAGGTTATGCACATATGGGCTAGTTCTGGGTTAAAATAAAGCTGGGTGTGTTAATTCCATTTAAAACGGTGTGTGTTCTGTGTGGATTTGTTCAGGGATCCCAGTAACAGAGTTGTTGTAACTGTTGGCTGGCTGAGTGATTCCTGTAGCCCAGGACAAAGTAAAAAGAAAGCTAGGCCGGAGAGCCACAAGTGCCTTTGTAAAGGCATTAGCTGGTCACAGTGCAGGCAGAGGTGTGGACCTGAGGAGGTAAAGCCAGAGGGGACGATACCTACTTGGTAGAAGAGAGATGCAGCCTAGTAAGAAAGAAGAGTTCCAGAGAGACCCCAGTAAAGCTTTGGCAACTGGGGCTGAAGGGTTCCAGTGTCCTAGAAAGCGGATTTGGTGGTGGTACACTGTATGGGAGCTCCACCACAGTAGTGTCAGAGTGTGTGTATTGCCCGCTCTTGCTTACCTTTCCCTGGTGGTCCAGGGGGGAGGGGAGAGGAGCATTGTGTTCTGCACTAATATCAGTTACAGATCACTTTAAAAACTTCCCTCGCCTTTGACACTCACTCACTGGCTGCAGTACTCGGAGTCACTGAGAAGTCTTCAGAGAAAGCGACAGAGCTCTTAAAGGGATTTGCATCTGATATTGGTGCAGATCCAACTCTATCAAGCAGGTGTGGGGGCAAAGGGCCAAGGAGGGAGATTTTTGATCTCCTTGCCAGATCAAGAAAGGCTCCTCACAGCCTGAGCCAGAGCGCCAGACCTTGGCCCAAGACGGCCACCTATTCAGTCTTATGAGCAATCTGGCTCTGCTACTCACCCCCTCATTCTCTTGTATCGCTCTAATAAATTATTTGAGAGTCTCATAAACTCTTATTCCTTTTGTGCCTGTGTCCTTCCTTATATTACCACCGCTAAAACGTTATCAGTAATGGAGAGTAGCAACAATGTGCAAAATACAGAACAATTCCTGAGCAGTTATGGAGGCGTAACAGTAAAGTCACAAGTCTGGTACTCCTAAGTTGCCTCCCCTGGAACTGGTTCAGATAATGTGATGACTCACCCTCAGTGGTTGTCTTTTTCAGATGAATGTGTTCATTTGTGATTGGAAACTCTGGGTCAACAATGGGGGGTAGGCTATTTGGCAGTGCCAGAAATAAGTATAAAATGAGTGGGAGAGCATTCATCTTGGTTGTGTGTATACAATCGAATCAGGAGAGTTCTACTTTAGACCATTGGACATACAGGATATGCAGTTTGGTGAGGAGTTTTGAGTGGTTCTCTGTAATGGGGGAGTTGTGGGGTGCAGTAAGTTTTGCGCCTATGTAAGACTAGGTGAAAGAACACCAATCGAATGGGAATTTCTCTAGGAGAATTGTCACTGTGTTTAGTTAAATTTATGAGAAGAGCTTGTGTTTTGGTCACATTATTGCGATAATATGAAAACTGCTCCAAATGATTCTAAAATTTCTAGTTGTGATGGTAAGGAGCTAGTTGGCTTAGTTAGGGTGACCAAAACATTGTCTGCAAAAAGCAAAATTACTTGTATAATTTGCCAGTGTGGCTATGAAGAAAATGGAGTGCTTTATTTTAAATATTAGCCGTTCCAAGGCAAGGATGAAATTTAGAGGGAAAGGTGGCAGCCCTGTCTGGTACCATTTGTAAATGGGAAGATGTGCGATAAAAGCCTGCAATCATGGCTTTGGCTAATGGGGCACAGAATAAGCATAGGATCGAAGTTATAAAGGTCTGGGGAAGGTCAGATATGCTTAACCCTATTGGGGTTAATAAGTATGTAGGGGTAGAGAGAAAAATACCCCTTTATATCATTAGAGATTTTTTTGTCTGAAGCTAAGTGAATTATTAGTTTGTGGACTTACACCTAATGGCCATTGGAGTGAAACAAAAAAACTCCACTTGTCTAAATATGCATAGGGATTTGGGGTATGCAAATGGGTAATGCTTTCTTCACATAGTTCCAGGTGATAGAATCAAACACTTTTTCAGCATCCAAAGAGACTTACAGGCTTTGGATATTTTTTGTCTGATTACGTTAGTGAGATTGAGCACACTACTAGTATTGTCAGACACTTGTCTGTGCAGAACAAAGCCTGCCAGTTCAGCCAAGGCCAGCAAAGGTAGGATTTGGTTCAATCGAGGGGCCAAACATTAAGTTTCACGTGTGCAATTAAAAGAGATACAGGGTGTAAATTACCCCATCCTTTAATTGGCTTGCCCGGGTTTGGGAGGGTGATAATTAATGCCATTAACATTTCTTTGGGGATCTGGCTTGATGTTCAAAATGGGTTAAACAGGTCTGTCAGGTAAGGTACAAGAACATCTGCAAACTTGCGGAATACAAGTTTGTGAATCCATCTAATGGCTTTATTGGCTCGTAGTGATTTAATTGCGAAGATCATTTTAATCTGAGGTTATTGGGAAATTCAGGGAGTTAGCTTGGCTTGGTTTGGGTTCATCTTGGGTAGGGAAACGTCATCTAAAAATTCATCTATGGAATTGTATCGCTGATGCCTGTATGTATGTATTTTTTACAACAAAAAGTTCAGTATTCTTGACATTGTTTGACTTGCTTTTGCTATTCCTAACTCTGAAAAATATCTAAAAAAATAAATAAAAATTCATCAATGTGCTTGTCAGTCAGTGTGCTTGTGTGTGAGTCCTCTGATTCAATGTGGAGAGAAACATAGGGTTTGAAACTTAGCAGATCATGAAACAGTGTTATCATATAGCACATGTAAGGTTGTTTAGTAACAGTGTGGTATTTTTTGTTTGAGCTCTAGACATTAAAGTGGTTGTATACTGAATGGTTTGTAAACTCCTTTGTTTCTTTTCTCAGGGGTAGGGGGGAGATGAGTGGTGGTTGAGAACTGGTTCTTGGACATGTGCAAGTTAGTATGAGTGGCCCTTAAAATTTGGTATGTTTGGCATCAGTTGCGGTTTGCCAATGGAACAAATGGTACAAAAAGCATACAAAGCAACCATAAAGGAAACACAGAACAAATGAAGCAGATAGAAACATAAATAACTGGACCGTAAGAGAAAAGCGCCGTCTCTCTAATTCCCCCCCCACACACACACACACTAGCCGTATTCCCTCTGCTCACTTGCATACACTAAATCGCTGGTCTCTCTAATCGCCAGTGTTTGCCTCTGATGCCTTATCAGGTCTGTGTCTCATTATTTTTGTGCAGCCGAAATACTAGTCTTTTAATTTTTTTTTTTTTAATTTATGCAGTGTTCTCATTAACTATACAGTATGAGAACTATGAGAACCTCGTCAACTTAGCAGATAATTAAGCTAGTCTAAACACATTCCTATGTCAGAAATGGTTAATGCAAAACAAAGAAAAACAGTAAGCACACCTTTGTCTGTATGCTGATGCAAAAAAAAAAAAAAAAGTTAATTTCCATTGGCCTATGCATTCATGTGGTTTTACCAGCTTTTTTCCAGTTGGATTGCACCTTGGGAAGCACAGAGGCTTCTAAATGCTCTTCTGCTAGTAGATTCCATAATTTCAGCAAGTGCAGACCATCCACAGGGGTTGCAACTGTTCAAAGTGAGCCATACCAGATGTTTTATTGAATAGCCAATTTATAGTTACAGTGATCTTTGGAACTGTACCTAAATTACGTAAACTACAAAATCATCAATTGTGTATCAGAACAAATTCAAATAGTACACTGACAGTAATCTGCTCTATCTAGGTATGTTGCTAGACCCCAATCTATCCTTTGGCCTTCACATTGAAATAATATCTTCAAAACTTTATCCAAAACTAGGTGCCCTGTACAGAAACAATCATGCCTAAGCCCTACAGTAAGGAAACAGATTGCAACAAATGCTAATGTCGGTCATCGATTATGGGGATGTAGTGTATGCACCCACACCACAAACCCACCTTAATAAACTTAATACGTTCGATAATTCGTTCTGCCACTTTCTACTAGAATGTAATTACTTTACCCACCATTGTGACATGTTAAAAGAGCTAAACTGGCTGTCGCTGGAATCCCGACGCACTCTTCATCTTTCCAGCCTTGTGCATAAGAGCTTTTCTGGGAAGCTCCCACCCTACCTGAGTAGAATGCTCTTCTCAGCTGTTCCCACCTCCTATAACCTCTGATCTAGTACTAGCACGATATTAAGCATGGAGCAATACAAAAATAAAGTCCTTTTCCTACAGAGCACCGCAATTATGGAATAACCTCAGGGACACAGTCAAATCTTCATTCAATCTAATATATTTTAAGAGATCTATGGCAATATACCTATATACCTCAGCACAGTATGCATGTGTCATGGTTGAATATATTTATTGCCAGTTATGTATTAAATTTTTATATATATATGTATATTGTATTTTTGTAATATTATATCCTATTGTATCAATGCAATGTTTTGTGGACACAAGACATGACTTGAAAACTAGAGAAATCTCAATGTATCCATCCTGGTAAAATATTTTATAAATAAATAGTTGATTTGGTGGTTGTAGAGAACCTTGGTGATGTTTATGTATTCTTTTCTTAATGCCATTGTGGCTGTGGATAGGAAAGCATGCAGGGCAAGGTCTTGGAATGGGTAATGTAGGTTGGGTGCTTTCCTTGCAGCGGACATTAAGGTCTCTTTGACCCTATAGTAACGGAGGCGTCAAAATTGTGTGGTAAATCTGCTGAGAGGTTCCGCAGCGCTCAATCAAGAAGCCAGCCCAACTCAGGAGATATGGGCATTATCGAATGGAACAGGGTGCATAGGTATTCCAGCAGATCTTCAGCTGTGACAGTCTTGGGCACCCATCTGATATGCAAAATCTGTCTTCAGCATCTGCCAGTGTTCAACCAAATTCGTTTAGGATTAGCTTCTGTGGTGGTCAACTTGTTAACTACCTCATTGTGTGCTTAGCACAATTCATCTTACCAGTCCCTGATTCCCCGCTGCCACCTTGCCCTGCGGACCTCAGAGTATTCTGTGCCGGTTTTTGATTGAAGAAATTACATTTCTGAGCCCGAGCGCTAGGGATGTGCACGGGCAAAAAAAAATTAGTTTCGGGCTTCCGAAATTCAGGACTTCAGCAATTCGGGACTTCAGCAGTTCCCTAACCCTACACCAACCCCTAACCCTAATCCTACCCCTAACCCTACCCCTAACTTCTAACCCTAATTCCTAAATCCGAATGTCCAAATAGCAGAAATTTGTCCCGAAACTAATTGCACATGTCTACCAAGCACTGCTCTTTTTAGTCTTGGGTTGTGATATGGCAAGATCCTGCACTGCACAATCATATTCTCTGGCCCTGATATTCCAAATTGGCGCTTATTTCGGAGCACAGATTTCTCTGTAAGCCACTCTTGCGTTGTTTTAGCTGTGCTTAGGATCATTGTATTGTTGGAAGATGAACCTTTGGCCCAGCCTAAGATCCGGAGCACGCTGGACCAGATTCTTACTGGTGATATATCTTTGTATTTTTCTGTGTTCAGCTTTTCCTCAAACCTGACCAGTCTCCAATTTCCTGCTGCTGAAAAACGCCTTCAGTGCATGATAATACCACAATGGTGGAACACAGGTGATGAGCGGTGCCCAGTATCCTCCTTACATGACATTTTGAATTGAGGACAAAACAGTTCAATCTTTGTTTCACCAGATAATCTTGTTTTTGAGTTCTTAAGGGGCTTTTTTGCAAACTGCAAGCAGGCTTTCATATGTCTTGCAGTGTCGCCATGATGGTCGTCTCCCATCTACACACATGATCTCTGGAGCTCATCAAGAGTGACTATCAGGTTTTTTTCTTTTTAACCCCTTGACGACCGATGACGGTTCAGGACCGTCATCGGAAACATCCCCTTGAGCACCGATGACGGTCCTGAACCGTCATAACGGTCTGGGGGTACTTACCGGATCACCATCGGTCCCCCGGTGGCGATCAGCGCCCCTCCCGGTCCAGGGGGACTGCCTGTCTGCCCAGGCAGTTTCCCTGCAGCAGATCAGGACCCCACGGTCACGTGATCGCTTGATCACATGACCGCAATAGGTGCCTGTGTATCTGCCTGCAGGGGGACTGTCTGTGCTGACAGGCAGTCTCCCTGCAACTGAAAATCATAAAATAAAGTTAAAAAAATAGCAATCGGTGTAAAAAAAAAATTAAATTATATATATATATATATATATATACACACACACATACACACACGTATTATATCTATATATAATATATGTATATATCATATATGTCATACTAAGTGTATTTTTATATATACATATATTAATATAAAAATACACGTATAATTAAATTACACACCTATAATACACAATATATATAATTATATATATAATAAAATATAAATATGTTAATAAAAAAGTAAAAATAATTTTTTTTATATATATATATATATGTGTGTGTGTGTAACGAAATCCCCTATTTACAGACCATACGAACAAGCCTTATTTGGAGGATTACAGCGGGATTTCGTGGAAATAGCAATAAAAGCGAATGAACTACCGAACCACCGACCTCCCACTGAGGTCGTGTGGCGCCTATTGACCACCCTGACTGTTGCGGTTAACCACAGACTAATTGGGGAATAGCTGGTGGTCCGCGTTCGTTTACCGAACACGTGGCAACCGCCATTTTGTATTGTCGAACGCGCAGCGGTAAATGGCGAGGATTCCCTGGAACTGATTTCGGCTACTTATTTTGTTGAACACCGCTGCTACCTTCTCCCATCCTCGTTCATACGGTGGAAAAACACACGAATGAAGGGGATACTACTTCATTCGTGCGCTGAAAGTATGCGAAAGTGACCGACCCCAGATAGCTACAGTATGGAACTTGCAGTCGGCTACAAACACACGAACGGCCGGTGAAAGTCAAACTTCAGTCGACGATTCTGAGAACTGTGTTCGTGGGATCTGAGCGCTATTCGCCTAGAATATGCACTCAGATCCAAGCTATCTGGGGATATGTGGAACTTAAAGTTTATGTTGTGTAAAAAGAAAGTTATATATTTTTATTCTGTTTGCTAAATAAGAAAAGCCATGCTTCTTTCTTCCTGGAGATTATTAAGGCTCTCATTGCTACCTTAAGTTAATTATCTCCAGGATGGAAAAGAGGGAGTGATTTATGTAAAAGGGGAGTGCTTATGCTATAGCCACTGTGATTGGCTACTGTGATACTTTTGTCCCAGTCTTCCATCTGGTCCCCTAGGGGAGTGTTCACCAGGTGGGAGACCTGCATAAATACCGGGCGGGTAGCCCACAGTAAATCAGATCGTTTTACCCCTTCATGAAGTCTCGACTCATGTTTGGGGAATTGGAAGCTATAATCACTCGGTTTCAGCGGGATTTCGGGAGAAGCTGCAAGGATCATCGCTGCACGTATGTAGGGATCCTTTACAACACATATATATATATATATATATATATATATATATATATATATATATATATATATATATATATATATATATATATATATATATATATATATATATCTATGTATAAATAAATAAATATAATACGAAATATACATATGTCCATATACATAATTACATAAATAATTTCATAAATATACACGTAGATGTCAAATATATAAATATTTATACATATTAAAATTCTACGTGCATATTTTTGTAATATTTTTAACTAATTGAGTAATTTTAATGATTGCAATTTGATGGACATGCCTGACAACCCAGGCCAAAAGTCCAGAGAATTTAATTTGCTAGCACTGTGTTTAACCCTGTAACTTTCTATGACACCCTAAAACCTGTACATGGGGGTACTGTTTTACTCGGGAGACTTCGCTGAACACAAATATTAGTGTTTCAAAACAGTAAAACATATCACAGTGATGATATTGTCAGTGAAAGTGAAGTTTTTTGCATTTTTCACACACAAACGGCACTTTCACTGATGATATTATTGCTGTGATATATTTTACTGTTCTGATACACTAATATTTGTATTTAGCGAAGTCTCCTGAGTATAACAGTACCCCACATGTAGAGGTTTTATAGTGTTTGTGAAAGTTACAGGGTCAAATATAAGGCTTGATTTTACTTTTTTTTTTTATTGAAATTTGTCAGATTGGTTAGGTTGCCTTTGAGAGCGTATGGTAGCCCAGGAATGAGAATTACCCCCATGATGGCATACCATTTGCAAAAGAAGACAACCCAAGGTATTGCAAATGGGGTATGTTCAGCCTTTTTTAGTAGCCAATTAGTCACAAACACTGGCCAAAGTTAGCGTTTTTTTGCATTTTTAAAACACACAAACAAATATAAATGCTAACTTTGGCCAGTGTTTGTGACTAGGTGGCTACTAAAAAAGACTGGGCATACCCCATATGTACATGTGAGGTGTGATTTGGGGATTTCTGACAGATAACGGTGTTACAATGTCACTATTGATACATTTAAAACACATATATATATATATATTTATATTGAAACAGCAATTTCCTACTTGTATTTATAGGCCTATAACTTGCAAAAAAAAAAGGAATAAAGCATGTAAACGCTGGGTGTTTTTAAACTTGGGACAAAATTTTGAATCTATTTAGCAGTTTTTTTTCATTAGCTTTTGTAGAGAAGTAAAATATTTTTCAAGTAAAAGTCCAAAAACATATTTTTTTTTTTAATTTTTCACCATTTTTTTTTTTAAATAAAATATATGACATGATACAAATAATGGTATGTAAAGAAAGCCCTTTTTGTCCTAAACCCCCCCCCCCAATATATAACTTGTATGGGAACTGTAAATGAGAGAGAGGAAAATTACAGCTAAACACAAACACCACAAAAGTGTCAAAACTGCTCTGGTCCTTAACGTACAACATTGCAAAAACAGGCCGGCCCTTAACCCCTTAAGGACACATGACGGAAATATTACGTCATGATTCCCTTTTATTCCACAAGTTGTGTCTTTAAGGGGTTAATAAATTTGCAAAGTTTTCATAAATCTGTTTTTTGCTTTGTCATTATGCAGCATTGAGTGTAGATTGAATAAAAAAACAAAAACCAAACATAATTTAAACATGAATTCATGGTGTACATTTTAACCATTTATTCTCCAAGGTTTTATTTACCTTCTCGCAGCTTTTCAAAACTGCTGACAACAAGAGCAGGGGTGTTAGATATATAGTGATATAGTGAACATAATTCTAACACTTCTGTATTGATAAATTACACAATATCGTCCTGAGCACAGCGGTTTATATTGCTAAAAAAACAAAAACAAAAAAACAAGATACCCTCATATCTGATCTATACATATAGAGTTTTAGGTTTTGTTATGTTTTACATTTTACAGGCAGTGCAACCTTAATAAATCTTCTTTGAATACTCATTATCTTATGAAATCAGTAAATGGAACAACACCCAAAGATGCCATCAATAGCCAAGAATCAGAACGACTGTTTAAAAACATAAGCAGAGGACACCAAAGTATGCTACACTACAGTGAACACAGAAATAAAACCAACATACCAATACCCAGGTAAGCAATGTGATACACTACATGTCAAGCGTATGTAATGCTCGAAACTTCTCTGGACACTCACGTAGCTGGGCCGAAACATAGGTCCAAATTCTTCCTGGTTGCTGATCTACATATTTACAAATCAATAACGGCACACATAAATTATGCTGGACATTAGGTAGAGAAGGACAAGTATACTGCCAGCAACACCAGTATGTGAAACAGGCAGGGTCATAGTGTTGGGGTTCCAGGCCCCTTCAAAATGGCAATTATCTGAGAATATAATAACATAAAGGAGTTGTAACAAGTAAGCAGACATAGTATGCCTTTCCTTAGCATTTTAGGACGATTGGCCAATATAATGTTGTTATGTGAAAACATGTTGGAGATTCATTCAGTTAGTACACATTTAATAACACCCTACATGCACTCATAATTTGGTGCCTAAACCTAAAACATGACTTCATGCTTCAAAAAATATAAATGAGGTCTAAAGCACAACTCCTTCCAGTAGAACAACATATCTGTGGGGAGGGGTGGGGTACGTGTGGGAATAGTTTGAAAGTCCCTTGTATTGTAAGTTATCCACACCTCAAAACTGTCTTTGTTTGTGGGTTCATGAAAAGAATGCCTGCATACATAGTCACCGTTTTGTTTAGTGTTTTTTTTTTAAAAGGGAAGAACAATGGGTCAGAGTACTGCAACATCATTGCTAAATACACAAAACAACCGTCACACACTCCAAATAGGGAGAAACTTGGGTTTTCACCTTACATTGGGTGCCAATGAAACATGGAAATACTAAATAGTTTTCTTACATATAAGTACTGCTCGCTCAACATTGTTACACAAGCAGAGTAACATAATAAGTTATATAATTGCATGATTATATAACGTAGAACAATATAAAAAAGGCAACCGCCCATCTACTTTCTACAATTAACTAAGAAGACTGGGCTGTACCTGGACAGGCACCAAAACTAATTCAAAAATAAATAACTGATCCAAATCCTTATGATTACCTGCAATATGTCAAACTAAAGGCCTTAGTTTAAATAGTTTAGATGAGCTTTTCAAAAATATTTTAAAATGCACGTTTCTTAAATGATTTTTTTCAGCATAATAAAATATAAAAATATTCAGAAATTTAAATCTTTCATAATATTAAATCATTTTAAAAGCTTAGTTTGATGCCTTTCACAGAGCTGGGTAGCTTCTTATAAAACAAATCATAGCTTTTTGTGTTTAACTCAAACCATAGTTTACCAAGTGCTGTCCTCTAATTTGATGTATTATTGTAGGTTTTTGAGTTGCATGAACTGTGTATTATACAGGGTGACATCCAACATAGGCCTTGATTTAATATTGTTGGATACAGGGCCAGATTAAGGGCCTCATGGGCCTAGAGCTGAAAGTTTTGTATTGGCCTAATTACATGAGTATATTAAATGGAACACTCCAAGCACCATAACCACTACAAAGCACTAGAGGACAACAGGAATTACTACACTAAAATGATTTCGACTTTTCCATTGTCTTTATTTATAAAATATTTTACCAGGAAAGATACATTGAGATTTCTCTGGGTCCACAAAAACATTTAACATGTATCATATCACACGTACACATCAGTTGCCATCTTTCTATTTTGCATTTATTGTAGTATGCTATTGTATATTGTAATACAAAGTATAAATGTTCCTTTACTCCCATCTATGTTACTGGCACAATATTATCTGTTTTATTTGACTTTTATTTGCATTAAAGAAGAAAAAACGAAACTGAAAAATTAGAAGCTTCCTCATATTGATACTGACTAAAACCCCTCACATATTAGTAAAATATCTAAGACAGAAGATAATCTTTACCTGCAATTCCTTAAAATACTAAAATGCCAAATTAAAAACACCCTCATATAATATATAATATTGGTCATATAATGTTCCTGTTTAATACATTAACACCACCACTTTTCCCATAGCAGGTTTTGTGATGTAACCTGGTCTGAACGGACAACTGGTGCAAGACTCAAGGAAATCCTCACCCAACACAGCTAAAGTCACCTTGCTGCCTTTCCTTTCTGTTCCATCACTCTGCAGGACACCCATGAAGCTGATCCAGCTTTAAGGATTTTGGATATAAAAATCCGGTATGCCTTGTGCAACACGCAGGGTTGAGGGAGTCTGACTTCCAGTGGGTCGCTCAGAATACTGGACAAAAACAGGAATTCACCCAATACCTGTCCACACAGTTATAAGTCTAAAAGTGCGATTCTTTTGGTCTTAAGGATTTTGGAGACTGCCTCAGCACCAGGCTCTTGACTGGGACATACCCTGAATCACTCACCAGATTGGAACTGTGCCCCGATCTGGTGGAAAGTCTACCAGGTATCACTTGGTCCACTGACCTCCATACAGAGCGCTTTTTGGAGGGGAGATCAGGGAGGTGATGAGACGTCCGTCAACACCAAGGACTTGTGGGAGTTTCTTTCTATGGGGCTTCGGGAAGCCATTATTGGAGATCGGGACAAAACAGCCTGGAACTCTGCATTGAATCAGGGGTTAGCTGCAGCTCAGTCTAACTTTACACAATAATTACTCGGGTTGGGCGCCTCTGATCAAGACACTTATTGGAACAGTTATGCTTGAGGACTAGCTCAATCCTGTAGGGATATGTCGGACTATCCAGGGATGCATAAAATGTTTATGTTACTCATGGGGAACTATACATTTATGGGGATACTGTACCCAAAAAGAGTTGCTAAAAAATGTGATATCTTTATTTGTGTGTATCTGTGACAGTGTGCGTACCTATTAGAGTGTATGTGTGTATCTGAGTGTAAGAGCACATATGTCTGTATGTGCATCTGTCGATATGCGTATGTCTGTATGTGTATCTGTGTGTGTTTGTATTTGTGACAGTGTGTATATCGGTCTGCGTGCATATGTCTGTATTTGTAGCTATGTGACTTGGAGTGCATCTGTGTGTGTGTGCATAGGTCTATCTGTGCATGTCTATATAGGTGTGTCATTGGAAAGGGTGGGGGGGACCCATTCGGAAGAATTTTTCCAGGTCAGAATTCCTAATTAATTACCTAATATTACTGACTATTGCATGTAATCATTGTGTATTCCAGGGCTGAGATTTTAATTATTCTGAACAGTCCTAATTGTTTCTAAGGGCGGTAACCTTTCCCATAATTTACTGGATTACTGTGATGTATAACCAATGGTAAAGCTCCCGGTGGACCCTCAAACCCTCCAGAACAGTGTTTATACCTACTAAACACTGACTTTTGTATCGCTGGGAGACCCAGCAATCTATCAATGTATGCAAATACTCTAGAAAAACGAGACATTAGTTGTAAACATTAGTATTTATCAACAAGGAGTCACACAGTCTTGTGATACTCGAGAGTTAACGTATGGCAAGTGTCCAAACTATCACGGATATGCACATTCTGTTTTATATGTTACGCTATAGACATAGGATTGCACAAAATTAAATTAAAAAGAAATTGTAGAAGTTAAAGAGTGTTGCTCCCCTGATAATGTTAACATCTTTGGCAGGAGCTTTAGCTTATTGATATATTTATTTTGAGTACTTGTAGCGAATTGATTGGCACCTACCCAAACTGTACAGACTGAGAGCTCCGTAGTCAAAGAAGAAGCATATGTGACGGGCTTGGGTGGACATGATACTGAAGGTGTGAGCACAGGTGGATGCCAAAGGGTAAATGCAGCAGGACAACATGAAGACAAGTAGGGGCCACAAGAATGGGTCATGCAAAGACTCATGACAGAACAGCATGGACAACATCTTCCATAGGAAGTACCTGCAGAGAGATGGGGAATTGTAATGAAGGGCATGGAATCAAACTGAGGAAGCTAGTCTCCACTTTTATTAGCTGCATGGGAGAGAATATATTATCCAGGAGCTGGAACCAATCATACCTCAAGACATTTTGTGAAATGGACCTTACATCACAATGGAACCATAGCTAATGTTATAGCTTAAATGTTTTATACAAATCACACCTTTATATATGTGGCTTTTTGTTGTCTGTATACTGAGACACACTCTAAAGATAATTTTCTGTAATTTCAATATATTCATTCTGGTAAAACACTCAAAAAGCAATAAAAAAAAAAAATATAAAAAAGTTCACTGCATATAAAACAAGTTACAAAGAAGAGGCAAGTAGCCACGTCTCACCAGGTAGGTATGAAATGTGTCCAGATATTGACGGTCTCATTAGTCATTTGGAAGAGACTCAGGATACAGGCAGTGGCTGAGCTCTGAGGGGAGCGGTAGCCACATATAATACTGTCTTCATGAAACACCTGAAAATAAAATCGAAGACATGTGTGAGCGGCTGGTTAATAGTAGATGATGGATATCCTTGTTGTCCCAGGACATAGTGACACTTACTTTGGGCACTTGTTGAACGGTCACCAATCGGGGTAGCTTCCAGGTCAGCATGGTTTTGGACTGGGGTTTAGACCTTGCACCTCTGCTAATCAGCTCCTTTCTCTCACGAGCATCTCTTGATTCTCTGGAGACAGAGGTAGCACATACATGTATCACTAAGCACAGACTCCTGCTGGGCAAACAATTCTTTACTGTAAGTTAACACACATGGTGCTGGATCTTCCAATATCCTAATAACTACACAACAATCTCTCTCTGTTTACTCTTCTTTCTCCTCCAATATTTTCTACAGAGTTGGTCAGGTGGCAGATATCAGAGCCTCGTGACCCTTCAATAAGCTAAGTGGCAAGTGATAACTGCACAACACTTAAACATGGCACAGCTGTCTGATAAGCAGTGAGTGAATGCAGAATAATGTCACACTCCCCTGAGATAACACTCAGTGGTAAAAATATATTAGATGGTTCTACAAGGCACTGGGATGGGCTCTATACACCATGCATATACAATATATATATAGTGTAGATTGGATTAGCAGTATTAGTCCAGTAGATCAGGATTGCTTCAGACCCGAAAAAGAGAGGAAAACTCTCGAAAGCGTGTCTTTGAAATATTATGTTAGTCTAGTAAAAAAGGTATCATTGCATACTGCAATACTCTGGTATTTTGGCATTATATATATATAGCATATGCACGGTGTACACACACACACACACACACCTTTTTACTGCCTTACAGCTACCATTACCCTTAGCCGGCCTTAGCTTGATGAAGTTCATTTTTAGCAGCTAGAGAGTAGCAGATTGGTCATCAATGCTATTACATTGCAGATATGTGCACTTAGTATAGCATGTTTCTGGTGCATATGCTGCTGGATATAAAAATGCATGTAGCTTGTGTTATTCTTATGTAAGTATAGATGAAATATATGAATTATTTGTGTTTTAAAATTAAAAATGTATAGAAATGTGCAGGTTTTTTTTGGGGGGGGGAGGGGGGGGTTGCTGTAGAGTGTATTAGTAGAAGCCTACTACATCCTCAGATATACTGGAACTAGGATTTAGTTATATTCATGTGTACGGCATAGAAGGTTGGGGTGTATGAGCCTGCAAATAAGTGCAAATAAGCCAGCCTGGTGGTAGATCTCCTATTGAGCTATACAGTCCTTACCTTCTGGGATGCTGTATGCAGTTAATCCGTTCTGGCATGCAAAAGGTTAATGCTAGGCTAAGTTTATGAAGATCAAGTCTCTCCACAAGCCCAGAAAGTACATATGTTAAAAGTTCCCAAACACTAGTCTAATATTGCTGTATGACCTGAATAGACTGTTTGTGATTCAATGTCATGTCCTGAACAAATTTAAATCCCGAGGAATATTTTATGAGTTAATATGTAACCAGCTGGGGATGGGTCTGTTAAAGAGTAATATGGAAGTATTGCACTCAAACTAGTTCTACATGCACCTGCACAGAGACTGGGGCAAAGTGTGTGTGGAATGGAATGCATGTAAAATATAACAAAATATAGTTAGATTCATGCTGAGGCTTTGTGACTGTCCCTCATATTTGTCATTTAAAGAGATAGTACTGATATACACAATAGCACATTTTCAACATATCTGAAAACTAGTACGTGCGTGTTTTACATATGCTGCTTTTAGATAGGTTGCATTTTACAGCAGTGACTGATCAATCTTTGAATTTTACAGGGTTATTATTAACTAAAGTGAACATTTGGGGGGCATTTCCACAAACTGATTTCTAAACACATTTATTGTAATGTAAAGACACATTACTGGGAGTTTTGTTGTCGTCCGGTTGCTCTATTATACATTTAGACACACCACGAGTTCTACTTTCCTAAAAAACAGGGACATTAGGATGGAAAAGAAAGATATAAGGGTTGGGGCCCAAAATGTTCCTCCTAAGTAGGGACACTTTGCAAAACTAAAACAAACTTTAAAAGGAACAGTCAAAGAACCATAACAACTGCAGTGTGCTATGTGGATTATGTTGCTTGGAGTGTCCCGGTGCCCTCCCAAGGTAAGTAATCAAACAGTTTTGCCAATCACAGCCTTCTGGAGAGTCGGAAGCTCCTATGTGGAGCTTCCATTAGCTCCCCTGAACTGCAGGTTTGTAGCCTTGTTACTGGCCTAACTCAGAGTACAGAGCTTCTGGCTCTCCTAGAGAAGGTGACCAGTGGATCCCAGGTAAGTTGTCAAATCATTAGCATACAGTTTGATTACTTAGCCAGTGAGGGCACCGGGTCACTCTTGACATCATAACCACTACAGAGCACTTTGGTAGTTATAGTGCTTTGAATGTTCTTTTAAACAACTTCTCAAACATCTACATGCACATCATAATGTTACTACGTTCGGTTATAATGAAAGTAATTTATATTAAGGTATTAGTGACACTTTTTAATATGGTGGATAATGTAATACTTAATACTGCTCTCTAAAGTCAGCCTAAATAAGCCCACCAAAATAGGAAACACTAACACGGTTACTCATTGAAGTGTGAACCTGGAGGTCCCTGGCATAGACTTTCCTTTAGGGATGTACGGCTTAACCGCAAAGTTTAGTATGCAGATCCCAATCGCTCTACCCCTTTTCCTTACACTGATAAGAATCAGCAGCACCCTATTCACAAAAAGTTTTGAGAAATGTACGGATTTTTCTCAAGTCGTTTTTTGAAAGATTCTGAGCAGCGGAAGAAAAGGGGTCAGAGCGATCGAGCACTGGATCAGGGAATTTGGGGTTAAACCATTTGTGAATCGTTTAATCCCTAAAGTTAAGTCCTGCACCAGCAACCTCCTGGCACCATGACAACTTAATTCCAATAAAGTTGTGATAGTGCCGGAGTGTCCCTTTAAAACTTTAGCACAAAAATATTGCAATATAGTCAAATTGGAAAAATTTGCAAAATCTAAGTTGGAAATGGAAATGCACATTTCAGCCCAAAATAGTTTATCTGGAAAATATCTCCAACTGAGCTAATTTTACAGTTCAACTATTTTGTCCTAAACATTTCAGGGGCAGTCACTAATGTGAGAATTCAAATAGAATTTTAAACACAAGGTCAATATAGCCAAATTAGAAGAATTCTCACTTAAGTGAATACTCTCTTTCACAGTTTGCAGTTTAGGGAATAAATCCTTAATTCATTTTAATTTATTTTTTTTGCAGAATATTAATTAAGCATTATAGACATATTTTAAAATATGCAGGTTGCAGGGTGCACTAATTCAATGCAGTTTTTCAGTAAGTATTTTATAATCAGATTGAATGGCCCCAATTAAATAACGACCAATTACCTTTCTAAATGGATTTACTCCAATAAGATTATTCACTAAAATGAGGATTCAATCTGAATTTCACATTTCCGGCCAAAACAGGCAAATTAGAAGCATAGCTGACTTAGAGAATGATTCCAGTCCCACTATTTATACCTTGAATTTCAAATTCATCTTGAATTCTCACTTTTGTGAATAACCCTTCAAAATTAACCAATCTAGGTTATAACAAAAATTGTGTGCATGCCCTCGTAGACATTCCCAATAACTGTAGTGCTTGTTAGGTACTGAAGTTTTTAACTCAGGATCCGCTTTGTGGTTAAATTGTCATAAAATCAGTATCTATTATTTATGGGTCAGTTTTAGTCCGTGAAGAATCTGCCCATTAAACAGGTTCAGAGAAAGGACTGTAAACCATCCAAACTATGTACATACACTTTCTCCAAAACTTGTGTCAAAGAAGATGAGCAAATGTACCTACAGGCATATAATATTGCAAATACTATGAATCTATAAATCCATAGTAATAGCCACACACTCACCTTCTGCACCAGTGCTGTCTGCATAGAACTGTATACAATCTTTACACAGTCTTTAATTTCATATTGCTCCAGCATTCACCAATTCATTCCAATCACGCCTGTCTTTCCACACCCCCTTGGCTCCTCTCTCTTCCACTATACATGCCCTTGGTTTCTGTTTGTTGCCCCAAACATTCAGGACTTGTCAGACTGGTTTGTACAGAGACAGTCACCAAGCTGTTTGGGCTGCCCACCAGTGACTAAGATCAGAGAGGGAGGGTACAAACTCTACCTGTCCTGGCTGAGTCTAGATGACACATTGTCATTCCTAATGTCAGTAAATTCTTCACCAAAGGTGCACTTGTTTTTCTTTTTTTTTTTTTTTTTTAAAGGCAACAATGCCTGGCATTCCACATAGAGTAAAATTCTTACTGCGTATTTAGTTGTTTTTACTATAATTGGTGTATTGGAATAAGGTTAGGGACAGGTGTGTAATAGGATAACACAAGTGGGATCTATTAGGAGGAGGTAAGTGTTATCCCTGATGTCTGGGTTTTCTAGGAGGTGAGAGGTTTAGGGTTATTTACTGAAGAGAGAATTGTCTGGAATTCCAATTGAATATAAATGTAAGGTCAAAATAGCCAAACTGGAAGCATAGCTTAATTGAAACGGTTTTCATTTAAATTTAAAATTCACTTTGAATTCCCAACAATGTTCATCCTGAATTATTATTATTTTATTATTTATATAGCGCCATCAAATTCCATAGCGCTGTACAATGGGATAATCATATACTGTATTAGGCAGAAGAGGGGTTAATGCTGGATACCGGTGTACTAGACAGAAGTAAGCAATGCGAGTCCATGGTGTTTGTATTAAAGGAACATGCCATGGCCAAATGAGCAAACCGTTTAAAAAAACAGTTTAGTAGATAAATCCCCAATGAATACATTCATTGGTGGTATATATCTTAAAATAGCTTGTAAAAGCTGCAGTTCTTATAAACTTCAGTCTTAGCAATATTTCCACCCAGAAGAGACTCCTTGAGATGGTGGGGTCGTGCCAGTCATGCACAGCACACACCTGATCTGAGGTCTGGAATAGCTGGGTGAGTGGATCTGAGCTCTGTGTGGGAGGACGAAGGTGTGCCCTACTGCCACTTTCATTAACTCAGGGAAAATAACAGAAGGAGGCTGCAAACCTCCATGACCGTTACATAATGTATTTATAAAAGTGGTTTCTCAAAGAAATTGTCTCTCTTATAAACTGGTCTTAAAATAGGATACTAATCACATATAAAGCATTTCAACAAGCTGATTTACTTTTGGGGTGTGGAGTGGCCCTTTAAGAAAAATTTGGTTTATAGGTATGTGCCCCTGATGCCTGTGTATTAGGAGACAGTGAGAGGTGTTTGCCCCTGATGGCTGGGTATTAGGAGGGAATGAGAGGTGTGTGCCCCTGATGGCTGGGTATAAGAAGGGAATGAGAGGTGTGTGTCATGATGTCTGCCTTATTAGGAGGAAATGAAATGAGAGTGCGTACCCCCGATGCCTGTGTATTAGGAGGAAATGAGTGGTGTGTGCCACGATGGCTGTGTTATTAGTTGGAAATGGGAGGTGCGTGCTCCTAATGCCTGTGTGTTAAGAGAAAATGAGAGGTGTGTGCCATGATACCTCTGTATTAGAAGGATATCACTATCAGAGGTGTGTGCTCTTGAAGTATGTGTATTAGGAGCATATGAGAGTGTGTGCTCCTGATGCCTGTGTTGTAGGAGTAAGTGAGGAATATATACAAATATGTTAGAGGTGTGTATTTTAGGAAAATGTACATTAGGTGAAAGGTATTGTTTGTGATAGCTGTCCATTATGAGGCAGTAATATCCTGATGTCTTAGTATCAAAGTGAGAGGTTTGTGTTCTTGATGCCAATGAACTAGAAAGAGATGAGAGCTATGTGCCCCTGCAACGGTGCATTAGGAGAAAGTAAGCCATATGTGTTTGTACATAGGAAATGAGAGGTATGTGTTCCTGATATCTATTAAGATTATTCACTAAGGGGAGAATTGTGGTGAATTCAAAGGGAATTTCAAATTTAAGGCAAAAGAAGTCAAACTGAAAGCATAGCTTACTTGGGGATTTTTTTCTGATTCTGCTATTTTGTTTTCTTTAAATTTGAAATTCACCTTGAATTTCCCACAATTTTTACTTCATAATGAGGATTGGTTGAAGGTAGGTGACGTTGATATCTGTATTACGAGGAAGCGAGTGGAATTGTTATGGTGATATTAAGAGTATGCACAAAGTATGGTTTCTGATGCTTTTCTGATCATTTAGGCGGTGAGGAGTGTGCCCCTTGTGTTTTAGGAGGTAATTCTTAATGAAGGGCCCTGTATCAGGAGGAGGAATGTCTGTATAGCAGGAGGGTAGGGTTGATAAAACTACCCTGGTTGTTGTTTCTTGTTTACCTGCTTCTTCTTTATTATGTTTTCCATGACCACATTAGGGGGGCACTGATCTAACCAATCAGTGTCCTATCCCCAGGAATGTTGGAAAAGTGCATTGGATATGCCTAACAGATTTACATTTGTGCAGTTTAAAGATCTGTTCACTTGCAACATCCTGACAGGGGAAGAAGAGAGAGTCTGATCAGTGTAATCATGCAGAGATGGCTCCATTGTTGGATTTCTATCTTCTGGTGCTGCACAACGATGCCCTGTTTCTGTCATTGGTGGACTGTTCTGAAATTGAACTGGGTGGGAATGCTGAAAAAAACTACGCTAGTTGAGAGGTGTGCCCAGTAATGCAACCTGATCAAATTTATAATAAGTTTATAAATGTTTATTAAAAGGATCACTATAGGGCCAGGAACACAAACATGTATTCCTGACCCTATAGTGTTAAAACCACCATCTAGCCCCCCTGGGCCCCTCATGCCTCCATAAATATAGCAAAACCTTACTGTATTCAAGCCAGAAGCTGTAGATCTGCATGCTGTTTGCCTAAAAAAAAAACAACCAAGCAGTCTGCTGACATCAGCAGAAGTGGTAGCCTGATCCAATCACAATGCTTCCCCATAGGATTGGCTGATACTGACAAAGAGGCAGATCAGGGGCAGAGCCAGCATGATTCAAACACAGCCCTGGCCAATCAGCAACTCCTCATAGAGATGAATTGAATCAATGAATCTCTATGAGGAAAGTTCAGTGTCTGCATGCAGAGGGAGGAGATACTGAATGTTTGGATGCATTTTAGGCAGCCATGACCCAGGAAGGATCTCTAACAGCCATCTAAGGAGTGGCCAGTGAAGTTATCACTAGGCTGTAATGTAAACACTGCATTTTCTCTGAAAAGACAGTGTTTACAGCAAAAAGCCTGAAGGGAATGATTCTACTCACCAGAACAAATTCAATAAGCTGTAGTTGTTCAGGTGACTATAGTGTCCCTTTAACCCCTTAAGGACCAAACTTCTGGAATAAAAGGGAATCATGACATGTCACACATGTCATTTGTCCTTAAGGGGTTAAATACTTTTCAGAGTTTTTCTTACTTTATTTTGCTTTGTGTTTTTTGTTTGTTTAAAATTCTTTACTTGCTGAAATGTCCCTTTAATTGGTTGAATTCCTCCCTGTGATATTCTGCACATACTGCATACATCAGGGTACATGCTTAATATTCTGCATCCCTAGGAGAGCACTAAGGGGTCTATTAAGCTGGTAAATTCTAATAAAATTCCTCTGTTTTCACTGTATTCACTAACAATTGAACATAATGGCTCTGATATTTTCAAATGGATCTCACTGCTGCAGTGAACTGCCGAACTGCAATTATAATTATATTCCAACTAAATGGTAACTGAAAATCCCTGCTACAAGTAAAAAAATAAAATAAAATAGATGCAGCTAATGTAAGAGTCACTTTAGGGGGATTTAGAGTTGGGTTAACCTTATAGGGTTAAGAGGGGTCTGGGGAAGGATTAAGTGCAATCCCCTGTTCCTTATCAGGGGATTTGGAACAATCGAATGAACCCATTTAGACTGCAATCCTGCTGTTTATGAACAGCCAAATCACCCATGTTATATGGAGATTCAACTATCTTCACCAGAGGACTAATGAAAATTTAGGCCAAAATAACAAATTTAAAAAAACCATGTGTGACATGTCATGATTCCCTTTTATTCCAGAAGTTTGGTCCTTAAGGGGTTAAGGTAATTATATTTTCCAGCTTGTCTATTTTTGCCTTAAGGGGACACTCCACTGCCAAATGCAAAATGAATACAAATTACTGTTTAGTAGATAAACTCCAAATGAAAACATTAATGCATTTGATTATGCATTTGTCCATTGGAGTTATATCTAAAAACTGCAATTCTCTTGTCTTCTTCCTTTGCAATCCATCCCCTTCATCCCCAGTCCATACTTTCTGTGGCTGTCCAATCACAGACTTCCAAGTGCAGCTCACTGAGAAGTCTTTCCAAGGCAGATGCTCTAGGCAATTGCTGCCTCTAGAGTTCAGTGCAAATAACCTAACCAAACCAGGAAGTAACCGGACCAGTCGTCTGCTAGAAAAGACAAAGGGGTGTAACTAGTATAATTTATAAAAGAGCCAATTTCTATGAATTCTGCACATTTTCCAATGTGAAAAAATAGGACACACTCTTCATATATAAACCTTTTCTAAAGTGCTCTAGGGGTCTGGAGTGTCCTTTTAAATTTGAAATGTACTTCCAAATCCTAACTATTCTTACTGTAGTGAGTAACCCTGATTGAGATTACTACAACCCTTTTTCCTAATTCTGCTATTTCAAATTAGAACGCCTATTGGGCATTTCTAATTCGGTAGCCTCCATATAACAATAGAGCAGCTAGTGGCAGTTCTTAAAGTGAACCTGTTATAAAAATAAAAAAGAAAGTAAAATGAACTTGCATGAAATCGCTCACATATACGTTGAACATAGTATATATCACAAAGATACATGGCGTATTCAGTGTAAAATATAAAGATTTACACGCTTTTCTTCCGTCCCAGCTCCACTTTATGGGTGTTACTCTTCTTTGATTTGCCCTGCTGGAGACACATTCCCTTTGTTGCCAGTGTCAGAACAGAGTGACATCACTTTGCTCCCTATACTCCTTTACTCCTTCAATTTGAGCGCTGCACATAGCTCTTCAGTTAGGAGTGGGGACACTAATTGTGGCCCCAGCTGACAAAGGGGATCCTCGGGTATTGAAAGATACCTCGGGTTCCTTGGTTCCAGCAGAGATTTAACCCTTGCTGGTATTTTGACTGCACAACAGTCTATGCCGTCAAGGGTTGTTAAAGTCCCGCAGTGCATTACAGCTTAGACCATGGGTCATCAACCTGGTCCCTACCACCCACTAGTGGGCGTTTCAGGATTCCAGGTGGGCAGTAGGGATTTCCTCATTTGGAGAGATTAGGTGGGTAGGCGGGTGCGAGCCGGTGGTACCCCTGCGACTGGGTACCACCATCACCATTTGCGGCCCCGGCCCAGGCGGCAAACCGCCGGGGCCACCATCCAAGGGGTCCATCAAGTGGCCCATGCTGTCAGGGCCACCCGATGGATGTGGATTGTGAGGGGGCCCGGTCAGCGCTGGGCGCTTTAACAGCGCGACGGGCCCCCTGTGATTACATCACACACTGGGAGGAAGTGACTGCACGTCACTCCTCCCAGCTAACACTGAGAGCCGCGCGGGAGGAAGACCAGGGAGTCAGAGTGGGAACTCTGACTCCCATCCACCTGAGCCACCACTGGATCCCAGGGAAAGTCACCCTCCTGCACCTTAAAGGTAGGAAACAGGAGGGTGACTTAAATAAATGTGTGTTTGTTTGTGTGTGTGTGTGTCTTTGTATGTATGTCTTGTATGTATGTGTGTCTTATGTATGTGTCTTTGTATGTATGTCTTGTGTGTGTCTTTGTATGTATGTGTCTTATGTATGTGTCTTTGTATGTATGTCTTGTGTGTGTGTATGTGTGTCTTGTCTTTGTATGTGTGTTGTGTATGTATCGTGTGTGTATGTGTGCCTGTCTGTTTGTATGTATGTATGTGTCGTGTGTGTGTATGTGTGCCTGTTTGTGTGTCTGTATGTATGTGTGTCTTGTATGTGTGCCTGTCTGTTATAGTGGGCTATAGTAAGTGGGCTACCTAGCTCAGCCTTCCTACGGGGCATTGCTATAATCAAGGTTAAAAAATAGAAAAACGGGAAAAAAAGGTGGGGAGGGGAATTGAGGAGGAAGAGGGGGGGAGCTGACGCACAGATGATAAATCATATTATGCGCAAACAGAGAAGTCGTCTGAATATCACCGAAAGAGGAGACCTTCGTTTGTTCCTTACGAAAATCGAACCAGATATCAAATATTTAGTCTCGCAGCATCAACCTCAAGGTCATTAATCACTAGTAAAGGTAATTTCAATTTACTTTATTGTTTTCTCATTAAACTTTATAAAGTTAAAAACATTATAAACATGTATTAAGTAGAAATAAAAAGATAAATGTACGTACATTATTTTTTTTTTAAATGCCCTCCTTTCTAAAAAATATTCTGCACTTGCGCGAAAACTGGTGGGCGGTAAGGAAATTTTTCCATCAAGAAAGATGCATTAGTGGGCGGTAGGAAGAAAAAGGTTGACTACCACTGGCTTAGAACGTCTTGTGATCATTAAGTGGTTAAACCATTTAGGCATGTGACATTTACTTTGAGCCAAATGTCAGTTTGGGACAGGTGATCCCCTTGTTCACCTGCCTTATAAGGATGGATGCCTTCCTGGAAAACAGGAAAGTTGTCCCTCGTGGCACACTCCAAATCGATGAAGCAACAGTCATCTAGAGCAGGGGTAGGGAACCTTTGGCACTCCAGATGTTTTGGCGTGTGCCACCAGGGACAACTTTCCTATCCCTGATCTAGAGGCTGAAAGATATACTCCAATCTTGTGTTTGCAGAACAGTTGTTTATTGCCCTCAACTGATGTTAGCGTCCTGTGTGATCCTGGTAATAAGGGCAAACTGTCACTAGTCTGATCCAACAGCCTGAAATATTGGCGTAACAGACATCTTGAGAGGGTCTGTGATTTTCCGTGAAAGGCAGGCAGGCAGGCTGGTTGATGTAGATATGCAGATTGAACCCGTCGTGTGTGCGACTACTCCCAGCAGCACAACAAAATAAAGCATAACTGTGTGTGGTGGAGCATATGCAGTTTAGGCAGATGATGTTGGCAGTTTGATGGGAGCTAGGGAAGCAGTGAGCAGCCGAAGGGAAAGTAGGCTGTTATAAGTGCTAGGATGTCACTGCTTTCTTATGAAGTCACCAACACTTCATTGTCACAATAAGAATAGATAACATTTAGAACATGCCATTTGAATGACGTAGTGTTTAAAAGCACAGCCTGGGATGAAACCCGGAATCCCTGTTGCTGGAGGCAGACCATCAGAACTGTGTGTAGGAGATTACATTTTCATGTCTTTGTCTGCAGTGTGAGTACTAAAAAAAGATACTATGCAAATTACTGTCAAGGCTTTATGAGGGCATTAGGCCCATATCCAGAGGGTATACCTCCCAACAAAGGCAGCCCCAGAATCGGGATGCTGGTAGGAGAGGTGTAAAGGGGGAGGGCCAGTGACGAGATCGCATAACTGGCTCTGCACAAAAATAGGGGACCTGCACGTGGGGGAGGAGGGAGCATGTCCACCCATATTAATGGCAGGTCAGCCTGGTGTGAATACCCCCCAGGCTAATTTTTAATCATTTTGGCAGGCCCACTGAGGGCTGACCCTGCAAGGATTACTGGTTTCATTGCTCCTTGCAGGTACTACTGCCCTAAACATAGCACAAGCTCATGTAATGTGATGCAGTCATGCTATTATTGTCTGGGACAACAAATGGGACACCAGGAAACTAAGGTGGGATAGGACCCAAAAATCAGGACAGTCCCACCATAATTGGGACAGTTGGGAGGGATGAGAGTGCTTCGAAAGCACTCTGCATAACCTTGAGTAGGGATGACCATCAGTCTGGTGTGTATTCCTTCTAATATACTGTACAGATACAATAGAAATATGCCTCTGACCTCCTTCTAATACACAGATATAAGGAACACACATTTGTCACCTCCTCCTATAACATAGATAAATGGGACACGTACCATCATCAAAGACACTACTCACCTTATAAACAGGCACCTGAGGGATATACCTTTTAACTCAGAAGTACCAGGGGCACTTACCATCTTCTCCTAACACAGGCACCAGGGGCACATGCTTCCTGCTTCCTAAAAGACCAAAACAACAAACACATACTTTTCACCTTCTTCTAATAAACAGGCACCAGGTGCTTATACCTCTCAACTCTTAATACACAGTCATTAAAAATTCTACAAAATGCAGAATGTACTAGCAACATAGTAATGTATATGACCTAATTGTTTATCTGTTACTGTTAATTGCCACCTCCCTGAAACATGCGTAACCCCCTGGCCACACACTATCTGACGGTCGCTAAAGACCGATAACGTACCCCTTAAGCCAGGGACACCAAACATAATACAGCAGACGACTCACTCATGGGTCTAGGCTGCAGTCATACTCACGCAGCTGGGAGACCCCCGGGTATAAAGCCTTACCGCAAATATACCCGCTTTGGCGACCTACCCAATCTTATTACGCCCACAATTAACGTTGACTCCTAGCCACCATTACACTAAAGGCCAGCCCGCTAGAGTTTGAAATACGCAATTTGCAGTACGCAAATAACTGTCAATCTTCATGTCATTTTATGCTTGTTCATATCGTTTGCAGGGTGTACTAGCAACATTGTAATTTATATGACCTTAGAGTTTATCTGTTACTGTTACATGCCACCTCCCTGAAACATACGTAACCCCCTGGCCACACTCTATTTGCCGGCCGACAAGGCCCAACAACCTACCCCCTAAGCCAGGGACACCAATTGTAATATAAAGGACGACTCACTCATGGGTCCAGTCTGCAGACATGCTCAAGCAGCAGGGAAACCCCCCCCGGTATAGAGCCCACCCGAGTTTCTGACCCCCACCTCCTTCTTAGACTGAAGCACCAGAAGGGTTCCTCACTATATTTACATAAGGTGCCTTTCACCCATCATATGGTTCATTTAAGGAACACACAGGACCACACCTGACCTAGGGATGTTCCTCAAAAGAACATCTGGCACCATATACCATTAGCCTGCTCAGGCCATCACCTGTCCACCATCTCCGATCCCACGCTCCCCACGGCGCTGATCAGCAGCGCCTTGCACCGAGATCGGGCCACTATGTATATACTTTGGTTAACTAAGTTTATTTTTTTCTATCCCTGTTTACCTCCCCAGTTGGGATATCGCCCTCCCTACCCTACCCAATCATCCAAGCAAAACCGAGCCGTACAAAGTGGAACCCTTGGGTCCTCGGTTTGCGAACAACAGCACAAAGTACACCTCACTTCTCAAGATACTGACCTGACTGATAGCGCTCTGCCTTATACCATACACTGATAGTTTATTCCCATAATGTCAGGGGGCTCAACATGCCACACAAAAGGCATATGCTACTTCAAGAAGCTCGAAAATCAAAAGCAGATATACTGTGTCTTCAAGAGACTCACTTTCCCAAAGCCAAAATCCCACAATTTGGAATGAAACATTTTCCCCATCAGTTCCACGCCACGCACATATCCAAATCCAGAGGAGTCTCCATATATATATATACACAATTCAGTAGCCTTTGAACTACTACACTCCATCTCAGACGATCAGGGCAGGTACCTGATTGTTGTCTGTCTGTTGAATGATGTACAACATTTAGTGGTAAACCTCTACGCACCTAACGAAAATCAGAAAAACTTTTTGACCAGTACCCTCCTAAAAGTGGCAGCTGTACAGCGAGGCAACACTATCATATGCGGAGATATAAATCATGTCTTAGACCCAACCCTAGATACCTCTATGCCTTCCTCCACCAACCGACAGAAATCCCTCAAACCAACCTGCAAAGCCATAACACAATTGTTGATGAAATTCAACCTCTATGACTGCTGGAGATTACTCCACCCCCTGGATAGAGAGTATTCATATTACTCTAAACCCCACAAAACACACTCTAGGATAGATGTAATACTTATAGCAGGACCATCTCTCAACCTACTTCAAAAATGTCACATTGGTGACATTATATGGTCAGATCACGCCCCAATACTCGCTACATTCAGGGATAACTTCACTTTTAGAGGTTGCAACCCATGGCGCCTTAACTGCTCCATTTTACACGACGATAAATTCAGCTCAGACATGGATATAGCACTCAAACAATATTTCTCCGAGAATGAAACATCAGGGATGTCCCCAGCAGTGATATGGAGAGCCCATAAGGCCGTAATGCGAGGGTTGTTTATACGAAGGGCCTCTTTTCTAAAACGGACCTCCCAAAATAAATACCTCAATCTATTAAGGAAATTAAGAGACGCTACAGCGTCCCACCTTCTCCACCCGAACCCAAAAGATGCGGCAACTATCGCCCAAACCCAATCAGACCTCAACGACCTTAATATAGCGAACACAACCCGAACACTTCAAAAACTGAAAACCAGAGAATACTGCTTGGGTAACAAAGCTAGCTCGCTCCTGGCCACCCGGCTCAGGGACGTGCAAGCACAAACCAAAATAGCATACCTCACTTCCCACGATGGACAGAAAATAATCCAGCCACAACAAATCAGCGAACTCTTCGCAGATTTTAACAGCAAACTCTATAATCTAAAAGATGACGCTACAGTACACCAGCCCACGAAGGGAGAAATCTCTACTTTTCTAGACAAAGTCCGCCTACCTACACTCTCAGCGACCCAACAGGAGCTCCTGGCTGAACCCATCTCTCAAACAGAGGTGCTCAGGGTTATACAAAATCTGCCGTTAAACAAAACCCCAGGCCCAGACGGGCTGCCAAACACATATTACAAGAGGTTCTCCTCCATACTCGCCCCCCGGCTAACGTCACTCTTCACTTTTACCACAACACAAGAGAACATACTGCCAGATATGCTCACGGCCAACGTGGCCACCCTACCCAAACCCGGCAAATCACCAACCCAATGCGCAAATTTCAGACCAATCTCCTTATTGAATTCGGACGTGAAGATCCTGGCCAAAATCTATGCCAATAGAATGACATCCATACTGCCGACCATAGTACACTCTGACCAAGTTGGCTTTGTACGAAGCAGACAGGGAGCTGACGGCACACGGAAAGCACTCGCGCTACTACACACAATGCACAGACGCTTCCCCAACAGTCTCCTTTTGTCCTTAGACGCTGAGAAGGCCTTCGACCGCCTGCACTGGTTGTTCCTGCAGGCGGTCTTGGTCAAATTTGGATTCCCATCACATTTTATCTCCATGATCAAATCATTATACAGTAACCCTGAGGCCCGGGTCTTCACGGCTGGATTCCAATCGAGGCCTTTTCCCATCACCAATGGCACCCGCCAGGGGTGTCCTCTCTCACCACTCCTATACATTCTAGCTTTAGAACCACTAGCCGAATCCATATGCTCATCACCAGAGATAACGGGAATCAAAATAGGTGGGTTGGAATACAAACTAAATCTTTTCGCTGACGATATCCTCCTAACCCTAACAAACCCACACAAATCTTTACCAGCATTTCACAACTTACTGCAACAATACAGCCATTGCTCTTATTACAAACTGAACCTATCTAAAACACAGGCCATGGGGGTGAGTATGGAGGACGACTATCTATCCAACCTGAGAAGTCAGTTCCCATATGATTGGAGGAGAGACCACCTCACATACCTGGACATTAAACTCCCGCACACCATATCCAACTTGTACCATTTAAATTATGTTAAACTCAGTAAGGAGATCACTAACACCCTCCTTCACTGGCGGAATAAATTTATATCCTGGTCAGGACGAATAGCAGCGGTAAAGATGGTAATATTACCCAAATTACAATATTTATTTAGAACACTCACACTGACACTACCGTCCACCTACTTTATATCTCTTCAGAAACAAATTAACTTATTCATATGGCAAGGGAAGCGTCCGAGAGTTGCCTTATCTACACTGCACCGACCAGTGCAGATGGGTGGCATGAGCCTCCCTAATGTGAAACTTTATCATAAAGCTGCAGTATTGGCCAGCCTTTTCCCCATCCATCAAAGCAAGCCCCCCCCTCAGTGGGTCTCCATAGAACAACACTGGTTGCAATCACAGGACATACAAACAACATTATGGACGCTACCCCACTTAAGGGCGAACATTACAAAGGCACTCCCTGCTACCTTAACAACACTGAAAATCTGGGATGACACCCGCAAACTCCTGTGCAGCTGCCACCCAACCCCCCTATCAACCCCAATTAAAACTTTGACGCATAAAATACCTGATTTCAACTTCAAAATATGGAACAGATGTGGGGTGTGTCAGAGTATTTATATCGGCAGACATTTTGTGCTATGATAGAAACTAAAAGTGTATATTCTGAGTCACTCTGAACAGACCAGACTCCATTTTGTTATTTCAAGTTAACAAAAAGACACTATATTTCTATCTGCAAGCTAACCACTTTCCCAGATCTGAGGAATGCATAGTATATACAAAACAAGTGATAAGGAAGGGGGTTGGACAGACTGTCTAATGCTAAGAAGAATATAATCAAATCTAAACCCAGACAATTGTGACAGAGAAGATTAAATAATTTAATATTTAACTGTCTATATATATAAGGTACCATTGTATGGAAAAGGGTAAACTTAGTTCATGATCTGTCATATCAGAAATTATAGCAGATTTGCAGACACATAGTCTGGACAAAATGTAAGAACCCCTTTGATCTTTGAACGATACGTAAGTTATAGCCACTATCTAGATAGGCCAAAATGACGTCAAAATAGCCACCAGGAAAAGTCAACTCTTTCCTGGATAGGTATGTTTAGTGGGACAAGACTGCCCTCTACAGACTAAATACCTAAATTGCGATCTGGAAGATAACCACACCTCTAGTGCTTCTATTGGGTTATCAACTGATGACGTACAGAGAGTCTGGCCCTTTAAAAGTTAGGACAAAGGGAAGATAGAGGATGCAAAAAAGACGAAGGAGGCAGATGCAAGATATGCAAAGGAGAGAAAAGAGAGGAATTGGAAGTTTGGGGACTCCAACCTCCATGCAGAGACACATCCAAATAAATTCCTGAGACTACCAATCGGATGAAATATCTACTCAACTGGTAATTATACTGGTTTCATTTAATTAAATTAAATTAATTAAAATGTATTAATAGCATTATATATGACTGGATAAAGCACGGTCAGATTTCCATATTAAGAAATCTTAGTTAACTAAGAATATATAGTTATAAACATTCCATTCTGCAGGTGGAATTAAGAATAATTATATATTGATGTGATATTATCACGTGTTAGCATACCGCTGTTTTTATCCAGGTGTATTGATTTGCTCTAAATTAAGATAGATATCTTTTAGACAAATTAAAAATCTGCTTATATAATGTGGTAAATTCTCTTATTGGATGATTTTAAGAAAATGAATTTAAACTGGTTTAAATGTTATTTTATTTAAAAATTACATAAGAATAGATCTTAACTACCTAGGAGATCTAGCCAGCATTGAAAGGGTTATTCTAACTGTCTGCTAAACTTTACGACCTCACGCTGCACTCTGAGGAATTCTGTTCTTCTGTGAAAAGTTTCACTTTCAGCCTGTGTTAAAGATAGTCATAAATAATTCTTGACAGGAAATGCTATTTAGCCATTGAAACGTAATACCCATTTCTTTGTATTGCATATAATTTTGTACTGGATATTCATTGATTATTGTTATGCATGTTACATAATATTATTTGTTTATAATTAAGTTGTCATATAAATAAAAATCTATTTTTATACATTGTGATTATTTATATGAAATACTTTCCACTTAACACGATAAACGTTCTTTGGGATCTGAGAATTGAATTAGTGGGCAATTCTCAACTGTTTACTATTATTATCCCATAAATATCCCTCCATATTGGAGGCACGGTGCTGAGATCGTTTAAGTTCAAATTATATTTCATATAATAATAATATTGGTGTAATTCATGTAATTTAATCTTGATATAGAAAAGAGTTTTGTATTGAGATTAAATCACTGTATAGAAATATGGCTGAATCTAGCGCTTCATCTCAATCAGAGAATGGGAAGAAGTTAGCGGAAATGCAAGGTTTTCCCTTAAGCATCATATATCAGTATCTAAATATTAAAGTTGATTATCCAGAGTGGATACTCCAAATAAAAAAACAGGTTGATGATTCAATTCATGATAGATCGGCTGATTCACCTATGGTTAAATATCTTAGCCTTATAGATGAAGAGTCTACAATGCGATCTGTTACCAAATCATGCCCGTTTTTTATATTGGGTTATTCTATTATGTTAAAAAAGCATAATGAGATAGAACGTAAATTGGACGAGTGTCAGAAAGACCTGGTGCTCGAACAAGGAAGGTTCAAAACTTTGTCTGATGAAAATAATCTCCTTCGGGCTCTAAACTCTGACCTTTTTGATAAACTGGAAAGAATGAGCAAAATGGTGGATGATTATGATGAACAGATAAAACAGATACAGATGCAGCTAGATGAATATCAAAAGGGAAGTGAAGGATTACTGGGAAAAGACCCAAGTGATTCTTCTCAATTCCCTGATATTCACACACCAGACCAGGTTTTCATAAAACAGTCTGTAAGTAAAGATGTGAGTAATTCTGAGAAAACACCTGTAGATTCTTGGCAATCTTGGGCAGAACAGTTTGAAAAGACTGTCCTGGCCATGCTTGACAGAAGGAATCAGATTCAAGGTGATAGGAATGAAAACAGACATGGTTCTGTTCACTGGCAGAATTCTGATGCTGATCGGAATTGTGACAGTGAACAAGAAGCTCAGAGTGATGGGAGTGAAAGTGATTGCACTATCCACTCTGAAGGCCATGTAACTGATATGCCATCTGCGCTGTTGTATGGGTCTAATTCCTCTTCAGCAGACAGATCGCATAGACGTTTACCCAAACACAGAAACAGAGATCGTAAATCAACGACGCCTGTTTATGAAACACCAAAGGTCATCAAATTCCTTAGAGAGACTGTCCCACAATTTTCTAGAGGTTCAGGAAACATATCTGAACATCTGGAAAATTATGATAGAGCAATGAATTCATTGGGCATGTATGATGACATTCATAAGAAATGGTTCATTACATGGACCTTTGATTCAATGTGCCGTGTTTATCTAGAAAGTCTTCAAGCTATACAGTTAATGTCCTGGTCCAAGATGAAATATGAAATAATCATGGAATATGGTAAGTATAAAACCATTGCTTCTGCTAAGAAGGCGCTTTATAACTTAAAGTGCCGTCCAGATCAAAGCCCCAGAGAATTTTTAATAATTCTTAAAAATGCATACTCCGTGGCCCAAAGAAAACCCAGGTATGAAAGCACAGACTTCAAAGATCTGTATTTTCATGCCATGCCAGTAAACATACAAATGAATCTCGCAAGAGATTACGATTGTAAGTTACCATTAGAATGGCTAGTCAGTCAGTGCATGAAGTTGTACACTATACACCATGCACATGACGAAAATCAGCCAAAGGTTAAGAAACCTGGTGATAAAATGGTGTCAGAGACTAAAATTCAGTTAGGTTTAGAAACCCAACAGAAAAAGAGGACCTATTCCGAGGTTTTGAAAACTCCAAAACCTCAGAAACAGGAAAATGCAAGAAGCAATTCTGCAAATTCCTCTAATAACTCTGAAAAATCCAATGCCAATGGGAATAAACGCCCCTGGGTTAATAAAAACCAAGGCAATTCCCAATGGAGAAGGAATCCTCAGGGAAATAGGAGATATGGAAACAGAAATAACCAATCTGCTTCCAATAACTCACAACAGTCTCAGCCATCCCAGCCAAATTCTAATGGGCAAAGACAAAACGGCAATGGGGGAAATAATTTGCGTCGTCAGGTTGGTCAATTGACAGACCAGATGGGCAAATTAATGGAGGAAATGACAAAGATCAACCAAGTCTTTGCTCTCAATCCTTTTTTAGGGATAGCTCCAATTGCAGAACTACCTGTGCAACCGCAGCAACAACCACAGGTGCCGCAGCAATAATAGCCACTGTGACTAAACAGGCTAGGTTATCAGTAGATGTAATACCTAACCCTGTTTCCTTTCCAGGTACTAACAGTCAAACAAACAATAGTTGTGTTAGAAAACCTATTGCCTATACCGTCACTTCACTTTCGGGTGAAGGAGGCGCAACGTGTTCCTCTGTTTTTTCATTTCAGCCAAAGGCTAAAATAGCCCCAGCAGCCACAAGTTTCCAGGATCCAGACCTGAAAGGGTTAACTGATGAGATGCCGACCACTAGTTCCCGCTTGACAGTTCAAGATATTCCTAAAAAGGATGGGCCTGTGGGTAAGACTGAGCATTCCTCAGTACAGGTAGAAACTACTGCTGTGACCGGTAATGTATGGAAAACAAGTAATATGTTGACACATTCTAAATTCTTATGTGAATTAGAAGAACATGAAGGAAGGTACTACATGTCTGTAGAAATACAGGATTCGCTACCCCAGCCTTTTAAAGGGTTAATAGATACTGGTTCACAAGCCACTATCTTATCCAATACCTACTTCCAGCAGGTAATGGACTTAGCAACGGATAAGCCGAAGCTAAGAGGTTTCCCCAATGCTCTGTTGAGTGTAGGAGGAAATGCCCTTCATGTTATTGGCAATACCTGGTTAAAGTTTAAAATAGGTAACAAAACCTTTAGACACCCGGTGATAGTGGTAGATCTCCCCTATGACCGACTGATTCTGGGTATAGACATACTCAGAAGACTTAACACAATTATTGACTGTGTAAATGGAATTGTATGGTCACAAGCTAAGGTTCCTATAACCTATGAGAAATCACATGTTCAATCTGATCGTAACTGCCATGTGATAGAAGAAAGACCTGACTCAATTGAGGTACATTTTAGAAATAGTCAGTCACCTGACGTGACTATCCTGCAGGTGAATGATGCAATCGCACCTGTAGATGAGCATTCCGTAAGAATTGCTCCAGAGAGGATCCAGAATGTCTCTCTGGAAGGTGATGTTT